AGATAATCCGATCCAATGTATTCAAGAGACTATGAGTCCTGACTCATTCGGTGAGTTTTAGTGTGCATATACCTACCTATATAACCGGTAAGTACAGGTAATGGGCTCAGTCTCTGGTCAAGATATAGAAAACTTCACACATTTCAAGATGGCTTCTGCATACTCCTCTGAACAAATCGACCTGTACGAAGAATACATTTCTCTCCCCTCAAAATACCGACGAAGAAACAACCCTGCACTTACTCTCGACTATCTAACATCTCTACACATCCATCACATCTCCACTATCCCTTACGAAAATCTACTGCTACACTATTCACCCGATCACTCTGTATCACTGGATCCTCAAGCACTCTTCACAAAAATCATAACCAATGCTCGAGGAAGAGGTGGATATTGTCTAGAAGGTAGCACATTCTTCAATCACGTGTTAAGGGCATTAGGATTCCAAGTATATACCGCCGGAGTCAGAATAAGACGTAGATCTACACACGATGGTGTTCCACGGGGAAATTATATCGGCTGGTAAGATAACAACCCCTCAATTACCTTCAATACCCCTCGCTCACATACCAAACCCAACCTGAACCCCCTTCAAAACTAACAACACTCCAGGTTCCACATCGTGAATATCGTCACGCTTCCCAACACCTACAAATACATGATAGACGTAGCTTTCGGCGGCGACGGAGCCACCAAACCCCTCCCCCTCATTTCCGGTCACTCAATCCTCAATCTCGGAACCCAAGAAATCCGTCTCGTGTACGAACCCATCCCGCAACAAATCGATCAATCGAAACCTCTCTGGATATATCAATATCGCAACGGACCTGAAAAAGAATGGAATTCTTGGTACGCATTCAATGAACATGAATTTCTGCCGGAGGATTTCGAAATCATGAATTATTATGTGAGTACGAATCTGAGCGAGAGGAATTTTCAGACGAAGAATGTTTTGATTGTGGCTTTTGTGACGGGGGAGGATGAGCATGGGAAGGAAAAGATTGTCGGGAAGAGAGTGTTGATCAATGGGATGGTGAAGGAGAATATGGGGGGGAAGACGCGGCTGGTTAAGGTTTGTGAGAGTGAGAGTGAGAGGGTGGAGGTTATCAGAGAGTTTTTTGGGATTAATTTGACGGATGAGGAGATTGGTGCTATTAGAGGGCGGATGGTGGAGCTGAGAGGCTCTCATGCGTCAGTGGAAAGTTCGGGAGTATGAAGATCACTGTATAGATATGAACAGACATAGCAAATGCAGTGATGGAGAACACGATAACTCTCTAGAATTCCCTGCTAGAAACGAGGGTATAATTGTCAGATGGTAAAACGCAGCCTGCGATCGCGTCTTGCAGGGCTTTTAGTTCTCACCCTCTACTACGCGTGCGATGGGGTGATTTGCAGTGAGACAGCGGAACGATGAATCCTTTCGAAAAAATACCAATTCTTAAAACTCATAGCATCAGATCTCACCAAACCCATCACACACATCTGCAAACCCTGGCTCTTGAAACCGCAGTCCACACAAAACGCTAGAGACCCGCACTCAAGAAGAGAATGCGCCATGTAGACGCATGTCGGTGATCTACTCGGGACCTCCATCTCCAAGTCTCCAAATCTATCGACCTGGTTCCGACTATATGTGACTTCCTGATCTCTCTCTTCCATCTTCGTGGCGGATCGGATCATTGATCGATAGTTGGGATTACGATACCCGAGGTACGATTTCGAGAAAAAAGATGATTGAGTTGAAGAAGTGCAGATTGGTTGGGTTACTGCTGTGGAGATTATCAGGATGATTATGTCATTGGCGAACGTGAGATGGTGTGGACTTCGTGAGAGGGGGGCTTGTGAAGAACTATTCTGTGTCTAGGTATGATGCAAAAATGTGTTTTGTGAATGATCGGGAGAGTAGATGGTTTGTGCTAAGGAATGGGAAGAGCGGTGGAGCAATGGGGATGGAAGGTGGGAAGGATACGAGCGAGGTTGACGATGGGGAGAGTATGATCAAGAGATAATACGGGAGAGAACGCATAGAGATAGTCAATGAGTGAGGGAGAAGAGGTGTATTGAGCGGGATTCTTGAATGAAGGTAGGTATTGAATCATTTATATTTGGTGAAACCCAGTATTTGTGAATAGATAATATGCCTCCTGAAGTGAGAAACTGCTCATTGCCCTAAAGGAATTGAGCAATGATGTGAGCTCTTAACATCACGATCTGGAATCATCGGATAAGTGCTTTCGATATATTTCACTGTGCAGTACGATACTCGGGACTCACTTCGATGTCGCATTCATTATGTTATGATACTCTGGCAATCCATGGGTATATTAGAGTAACCAGCCGAGTATTGCAGATGAGAATTATGTATTTTGATTTTACTGTTGAAGCAGTAAGGTATTGAAATCTGAGATATCGTGATGTAGAACTTTTATTGTTTTAAATAGCTAGTCGGAAAGGATGTAGGAACCACCGTGGCAGAGACAGACAGACAGACAATCGTACTGCCATGTTTCTCATACCTATGTGTAACAGATGAAACACCAAACCCACATTGGACTTTCATTCTTGAACATGGTACTCCAACGACTGGTCTAAATATCATATCAGCACTTGCAACACCTCATTATGCACTGGACTTTCAAATCCATACTTCTATCAATGACACAATATCCATATTATTCTTTTCCCTAAAACTGAAATGTGCGCTACCGAAAATACCTACAGCAGGCAAATAAAGCCAATCTACCTTCATCCCAATTTGCTTCATATGAGTAGGCAGCACAATGATCACAGTACGCATGATATGAAACATCGCTTGTCATAACATAACCAGCACGTGCATTTCCACCAGATTTGTAACTTTCCTAACTGGTTCCGCTTACTAAATACAAGAACTGAGATTCATTTCCTAATAGGAACGATCACTTGAATAAGGCCGATAGTCGGATTCGTCAGGGCAGGAAAATACGTGATGGAGGTTGTCGTCAGTTCCTACGGGCGCGCGACACCGCTTCCGATGATTTGCTTTTGGAAAGGAGGACCCTTGGGCTCGAGTACCACGATACGGTGGCTTGGGTTAGATGGGGTCGTTGATTGCTGATCCTCCAGCCGGGGAGTCCGGTTCGCCTTGAGAATCGGTGTTTAGATGAGAATCGCGCAGCCGCTTTTATCCAGAAGTGCAACGCCGGCTTTCATGGTGTTGAAGAATACTTCTGTGGTGTTCGCTTGGACGTGGATTTGCGAGGCGTAAAATGTATCGAAGGTAGAGTCGCCTGGTTTGCCGGTTCCAGGCCACTGTTCAGTCTTAGATTGAGTTACATTTCGAGGAAAACGTGAAGCTTTGTGCATGAGTGTGAGATATGCTCGTGGCCAAAGTGTGGCCAGTTGGCCGGACGTGGAATAATGTTGAACAAAGGCGGTGGCCAGGTTAGCCATAGAACCATCTCCAACGAGCCATGGTGAACTCTTTGTGGTTGATCCGTAAGGTACACAGTATATCCTTTGGATAAGAAATATAATTTCCAGTCTTCTCGATCGTCAGAAGTGCTCAAAAAGCTCCATGGACTTGTAGGCTAGACATGATTTCAAACTGAAATTTACATACAGTTCCAGTTTGACCTCCTCCATGAATGAAAACCAGGGGGTATAGCTGGCTCTGTATTGTGGAACAAGCTTTTCGACATACGTTTGATTAATCATGTACTAATCCCATGTTAAATATCAGTATATTTTCACAGCCGAATAAATAGAGAAGTTACTCGCTCCCGTCAGATTCTGATAAGATCCCCGAATAGAGAAATAAGTCCTCTTTGCGAACCCTTTTAATCTTGTATTGGAGTTTGGAGCTCCATTGGACGTTTGTTCTTGCCACCATTCTGTAGATACAAATCCATATGCAGTGTGTGTCCACGTTAATGCAAATGGTAAATTGACCCAATGAAAGAATATTTCCACAAACTTCGAGTCGTTTAAATATTCGAGGGCTACTAGTACAAATCTCAACAAAGTTGGAGACTGGATAATGTCTGTCACTGCTATAGAAATGCTGAGTATCAGACTCTCGGTATTTCACTCTAACTTGGAATTCGCAAGGCAAAATGGGCGAATGCCGATGTTGGGTGGGTTGTCCGATAGTGATCATCCGTTCAAGGGAATCTTATAGCGAGGGGCGGCCGCTGAAGAACAAACTTAGAATCCCCACCTCCCCATCTAAGACCCTCTCTCTACCTTGCATCGCATCGCATCGCATCGCATCGCATCGCTTCCATCAACTACCACACCAGATATTTCATATTCATAACAGTATTTGCCCCCCCCCCCAAGAATTCCACATCGCATATAAACCCATCATCCATCACATTCCCCGAGCATTTTTACATCAACCCCCTCCAAAGCCCTATTCCATCCCATAAAATCTATTTCACATCCCGAATAAACCAACCAAAACCAAAACCTCCCCATCCATCACTACTTCTCTTACACTCTCCTATACACTCTCCACTCTCCACATCATCCCCTTCCACACCATCCCCTTCCACACCATCCATCCTCAAACCAATCAAGCTCAAGCTCAAGCTCAAGCTCAAACTCAATCCCTCAAGCCACCAAGTCATACCCCGCCAGCAATAACAACAATTCGTACACAAACAAACAATCAATGAACATACCCACCCCATTGAAAAATCCAAACCAGACGAGCGAGCCACGGAAAAATATGAGCAAGCAAAAAAAAAAAAGGATCTATACTCACCTAATGAATGATAAAAATCAGAGTTTCAGAATCGACAAAGACGATCTCATACACAAATCGACGAATGATGATGATGATGCCATAACTGGAGTGGTGTATGTCGAGCTGAAGGAATCGTTAAGGCCATGCATGCGTCGAAGGTGAAAGTGACGACTAGTTAGGCCAACAAATCTGGGGTTCAAAGTTGAAGGAGTGGAAATCTTGTCTGGTATTCCGAGATTCCTAAGGATATATATATATATACGTATTATACAAGTTTCCTCCACATCTCACAAAAAAACCTATCCACTAGCGTGCCGTGAATCCAGACCAACATGTTGATAATTATTATCCCACTAAATCGTGTATTTGTTAGTAGATGTCTATCACAAGAGTCCTTATACCCTAGATTATTAAAAGCACGAAAAAAAAAACTCACAGGTGTACCATTCAGTAAATCATTCAATAACACATTATCCTGCACTTCATTCCCCAGATCTCTATTCGAGCCATTCAACGCCATCGGATCTACCATATATCGCGTTGCCTCTGGGTCAAAAATCCAATTCGAATTCGAGTCAGTAGATTTTGAATTACGATACGGATATGTTGTATTGGAAGTCGAAGATTCTGAAGAAGGTGTATTTCCAGTTGGAGGCCAATTGAAGTCAGTATCAATTGTTTCGCTTCCTGAATCCCCTTGCTGATTTGGTTGTGGAGGGAAATTTGCTGTAGAGGGCCAAGCAGGTGCTACTTTTGAGATGGCCTCGTATGGTGTTTGTTGTGTGGCTTGAGGGGATTTATTGGCGGACATGCTTCTTGTTTGACCGGTATCAATTGAGCTACGAGAAGATTCATTCTTTGGGCCTTTTCTTCGGTAGGTATGAGGGAAAACGCAAACATCCGGGTCGTCTACTTCCGTAGAGTTATGCAAATCATAAAGACTGTGTGCCATAGCGTTGCGATCGACTCTCTGTGTCTTCATCTCGAGTTCAAGTTGAGCATGAAAGTGTCTCGCAATGATGTGCTTTTTTCCAACAGCCTTCATAGCTGATCTCATAAACTCTAGATTGCTGGAACTTTGTGGGGTTGGTCTGTCCTTCCTTGTATCCTGGAGGATAACACCAGAAGCAACATAAAGACAAAAGCCTATCCATGAACTCATCTATTTGACGTTAAAATCTCTCACACGGAAGTTTTATCCACGAGAGAGCATACCTTGGATGCATCTAGATGACTAATGAGGCGCATCAGATTCGTTATTTCTTCGGCCGCCATCAAACTTCTCGCTTCGCTTTGGCTTATAAATGATTGACTGATATTTTCCCGCTCAGCAGTCATGACTGCTCCTTGATGCAAACAGCTAATCCCTTGTTAGAAAGTAACATCGTCATCTAGCATTGTACTTACATTGTTGCACAATGTATGTTCATATGGAAAAAGACAATGTTTGGATCCCTCAGTCCAGCAGGTAATCTGAGGTGGTCAGGTAGAAACATGAATGTATTAGACAATATGTTGTCCATTTTCCTATGGTTCTTCCAAAATGAACCATTGGCGAGATCGTTGGTCCCTTCCTCTGGACCATTTTTAAGCGTGTGCTGGGCATTGCGACCGAACAGACATGCTGACAGGATAACTCCAGCAAAAGATGATATCGTGGAAGCACCCTCGGGAGTTAATGCCGCAGCCAACGAGCATGTGTTTTCCTTTACCCCAAATCAAATGCGTCATTGTTACATGGCAGGTTGGTATCAATCTGCAAGTATTAGCCATATGCTCTGTCAACGAAATCCATTCGTACCTTTTCCTCATCAAACATCATTGGCCATCCGGTAGCACAGCTAGACCATCTGTCACCATAGTAGGCTGCCCAGAATGTCCTTCGTCGCTCCTCCTGTTCGATCCAATCCTTTGATGGAGGTAGTAACCTTTTCCCTCCAAAAGGTCCCTCTGCATCAAGCCTTTGCAGTGAAAGCATATGACATAATTGTGCACTAGATTGTAAGTATGTGATTTTGAGATGCATTGTAAAACTTACCATCTTCCTGTACTCATCCATGCTCGACCAAAATAGGCGTTTGTGGCCTCGTAGTTACTAATGAGTGACCAAGCTTGAACAGAGGGTATGCGCATCAAACCCTCTCCTTGTCCCTAAATCACATCAACATCAAGAGAGTAGAATCAATCCTTAGAAGACAAACCTTCATCTCTGTTATCTCAGCGTATCTTCTAGCCCTCTCGTAGAAGATTTCAGCATAACTCTGGTAGTTGTCCGAAAGTGCTGGTCCTGTTAGCTTTCGTGGTACAAAAGGTAGGCAGATTCATACATGCTGCTATCGTCATCATAGCATATCGCAACGCAACTGGCGGTCTATGGTTTGTGGGCATATTAAGAGCGGCATAGAATCGGCCCTTGTGTATCATAGGTAAAGTTGGATGAAATCTCTCGAAATATATTTGGAATCTGCTCCATCAGTATCTGTATATTCCCTGCACCAAGGATCCAAACATACAATTCATCCATCAGATTATCGGGAGGCAGAGGTTCTTGTAGTCCTAAACTTATGACTTCTTGGGAGAAGTAGTCTCCAATTGGTACTGAAGATCCAGTCCCGATATTTCCACTTAAGATATCATATCCTATATTTTGTATTCCCTCATCTGTGAAATTCATTTCCATATCCATATTCATAGTATTCCACTCCGGTTGGGTATCTGCATTTGTATTCATATTCCCATTCGTATCTAAATTCACGTTCATCTCAATCGCATTGTTCGCATTGTTCGCATTATTCGCATTATTCGCGTTATTCGCGTTATTCGCAGCGAGTTGTTGCGTCTCTGCCACGAGCTGGGTTTCAACTTGTGCCAATCTAGCTTCCAATTCCTTCATATTTCTCCTCTTTGTACCTGTGTTTCTCCTTCTCTCGGGATATTCGCACTCGTGTCTTAATCTGCCACAGGTCCCGCATTTGGGCTTGACTCGATCGCATTTCAATTTCCTACGCCTGCACGATACGCATGATATTGTTTTCTCGGCACCCTTCTCCTTGACTTCTCCAGACGTGGTGTTGGTAGGATCATTTTGCGGTGCGGTCGCATCTTTTGTAGATGAGACTGATGCCTCCTGCTCCGGGGAAGTCGACATGGCAAAGCTTCGACGATTGATATAGAGAGAAAGAAAGAAAGACAGAGAGAGAGATTACATGCAGATTGGTATCAAATTGAGAAGAACAGATTCATTAAACATAACAACAACAGCATTGAAAATCAAACTCCTTTGCCGTGAACCTTAAAGCGACTCGTCTGGCTAGCCAGATTTGATAAGTGATAAGTAAGCCTTTTCACGTCAATGACCGAATTAAGGTTTCTCTGATCTCGAGGATCCTTGTTCGATCCATGCAATCCTTGTTGGACTACGAATTCCGATTGTCGCCTTGAATGCTGGGAAGATTTACAACTGTCACGTGATTTTGTTGCACATCTGACTTGAGATGAATAGGCTGTTTGAGGGAAAGTCTGCAGATTTCCAATCTCATCGTCTGTGAAGGCTCTAAATACTCGAATGTGATTGGGGAAAGTTTACTCGACCTCCACTAATACCCACAGTATACCTCGTAGCTCATGTAGGATTATTATACGTATCCTGCATCGGGTTCGACGTCTAGGTGAAAGATAAGCCGCTTCAATTACACCAAAACCGCATTCGCATTCGTATACCGGTATTTCGTTCATTCAAGCTTGATTTGCTTTGCTTTGCTTACCGGTCTGTAAATAGGGTTAATGTTGATCCGGACACGAGAACGCGAGAGACGACAGCAGTTATCAAAGAGCCACTCTATCTTTATATACTCAGGTAGGCATATAAATAGGTAAGTATGACGGAAGAAGCTGTAATTCTACCCCAGTAGGTATATTTCTTGAGTCCTAAGATAGTCGTGATATTACTGGAGTCGGGGTCTAGAATCATTTATAAGCAATCGCTCCATATGTCTATCCATCTAATCTAATCCAATCATCACCTTCTATCCACCTTCTCTCTGTCTGGGTCCGTCATGATAGAAACAAACACGACACCGAATTCTCAACATTGCGATGTTTGTCAAAAGCACATTCTTGGCATGATGATGTCATCGGCTTCAACGTGTGAACAATTTGAAGCTGCGTGTCCAGTCGGTCGATCTCTTGATGGCAGCGGAGTTGGTTTGGTACATCATCTCAAGTACTTCCTCGACCACACAAAGAGAACGTCAGATTACGGGTCGTTCCAAGTTCACTCACTACATGCTGATTGGTCATCGTCAGGTTCAGGAAGCTCGAACAAGCTGAGATCCCTTGATTGATATATAATGCAGGTAAGACAATGCAAGTAAGACAAAGACAGTGGGGAGGTCTAAAATACACGCTGAAGCCAATGATCTAGAATTCTCGTCTCGTAGAATGAAGGGCTTTTGTTTATACACAGGAAGCTTCTTGGAAACATATCAGCCAAAATACAGGACATGAACGGGAATCTATGAAAGTTACACCCTTTCTCAATTTCTATCCCTATGTTCAATTAATGGACGCATCAAAGCCATGAATTTTGAACACGTGGCAATCAAGACAATGCAACTTTATGAACACCCGCAAAAAGACTTGTGAATAATGAATATTTCAAAAGAAATGTGCATCACCTCACCAAGAGTCCTCAAACAAATTTCCCGTAGGCTCCCTTACAGTTGGTTGAAGCTCATCGGAACCAATGGAAAAATGCAGCATCTCCGGCGAGTTTTGGGTATCAACCAAGCATCTTCTTCAACCAATACCTGCGATTCCCATAAGGTCATAGAAAGAAAACAATTAAACAGGAAAGATGATGTCTTACATTGATCTGCAGAGAAGAGCATGCAAAGCAACTTGCGAGAAGCAAAAAGATCACCAAAGGAAAATAATAGTGAATTCTCATCGGAGAATTGCTTTAAAATGACACAGCACAAAATGAAGCCAAGGGGAAAAGTCGAAGAAGTCGAACACTCGATTAAGCTGATTTTAACCTAAATCGTGAACTACAGTCAAAAACTGCAGAAAGCAAGCTGTATTTCTTCCATCAGTAGACTTCATATCTAGTCATACCATCCAAACAAATCATTCAAAGGAGATCAACAGGCAGGTCACTTTGAAGACGCCATTCAAGCACATCAAGCATCTCAAACAGCGAAGGAAATGGTAGGAAGCAAACTAATTAAAGAAAGGGGTAAAGCAGCATTTTTAGTCTCATTTTCGCAAATCTCGACACAGAGTAGCGCAACCTCTGAACGGTAAACCAAACAATTCTTATTCAAAGTAGAGTGCAAATACATTTCCAGAAGGCGCGATGTTAAAATTCCCGGTGCACTCATTTTTCCCCTACTCGAGTACAAAGTGCGAGATTCTAGAAAACCCGACGCGATCTTGGATAGCAATTTCCAAGAGGATAAAATTGACAGGACTAAACCACAGCGAGAGAAAATGTCAAGATCAAGAAATCGATCATGATTCCCTCGATCTCTCACCTCTCGACTTTCCATTTCCATTTCCATCCACCAGAAAAGAGAAGCTGATCAACAAGCACCCACCCACCTCCCTATACCCTCCCCTCCACAATCCATCAACCCGCTCCCAACCTCACCACCCCACTCCTTCCCCTCCAAGCTTTCCGCATCCCAACTTCTCTGCTCCCCTACCCTTCCCAAGACATCATATCCTCACTCCGCACTTGACCACAACGGCTTAACCCTCGCGAGTCTCCGTTGCCTCCCTTCCCTCATCCACAAAGCATAGTCGCTTTCCCCCTACCTACCTACCGAACTATCCCTTCCGAACAATCACCCCGTGAGATTCTCGAGACCCTTCAATTTCACAGCATACATATACATACATACACACATACATGTATAATATATATATACCCCCCAACCTACTCACCCACTCACCCACTCACCCACTCACCCAAAAAACCCCTCCCACCATTCCAAGACACCCAGTTTCAGGAGCCGAGCCGAGTCGAGCTACGCCGAGCCATTCTCTGGTCTAGATTCTAGAAACAGAAACAGAAACAGAAACACTCCACACGATCTAGAAACATTTCTCACTCACTCAAAGTCACAACCTCTCACAAGATAGATGTCACCACAAGCTCTAACTCAAAATCACAATTACAATCACAATCACAATCACTAACCAAAATCAGAAATCAAATCAAATCAAGTGGTCAAAAAACATCTCTCTTCATTTCTTCATTATCTATCTCCCATCCCATTCCACCCATTCACCCATCTCATCTCGTCGCATACACACACCACCCATACCCTCCCCCAAAATTCCCTCTTCACCCACTCTCAAACAATCCTTCACATTCACCCCAGATCTCTCATCTTATCCTCCCACCCCAAGCCTAAACAAAACCCTCTCGGCCATCCATCATCATCATATCATATCAAAAAAAGCGGATAATCTTAATCCCAGATCCCTCTCTGCCCTCCTCCAAAAATCCAAAATTTTTCCCATTCCATATCCTAACACCACCAAGTTCCTTCCACAACAAGAGGGAACGAGACCAACGACCGAGAAGTACAAACGTACAAGCATTCGGGCCGTGAAGAAATGAAATAAAGAGAAAAAAAAAACAAATAACAAATATCCATAGATAACAATAGGGGGTATGTGTGTTGTAGTAACCAGAACCAGAAACAATTCCGCCGTGCTCAAAATGCGCTAACCTCGCGATGAAATATGGTACAATAAAATGATGAAATATCCATCTCCCGAAGAAATGATCATAAAATGTGAAAAAACAGTCGTTAAAAAAGCGACCATGAGGTATCATCTAAACGAAAAGAGAGAGAGAGTAGAAGAGCGCAAGTAAATCCCAATGCAAAGCAAGGCAAAGAATTAACTCTCTTCCATGATCCCCACCTCGCCTCCTCCTTCTTCTCTCCATTCCCGACTGCGGTCCGTCATTCTCTTGATCCCGCTCACGCGACCTGCCCAGAGACTTTCCACCGTAGTGCGGAATGTATATCCGCGCTGACTACTAATCACTCCAATAGCTTGCAGTACGGCTTTTCTGCTATCCCGGCCAAATACAGCAGGGTGATTGATCCATTCGAGACTAGCCTCCAACTCCGCATCAAGGGCCGCAACAGTATTGGGATCGATACCTGGTGCCGTAACAACAGCCGAAAGCGCATCATTTGATCGATGTCGAGGAATCGGACCCAGAGTATGATTTGAGGTCATTGTCGTAGCAGATGTTGGGGAAGGGGTACGTCGTCTATCGGGAGTACGATTCGTAGGCGATGAGGAACCCGTGCGGGATGAGAGATTGTGACTTGGGGATTTAGAAGGTGGTGGCGGGATAGGTGGTAGACCACCTTTTCCTAATCCTTTCAGGATCGATCGCGTCTCGCTCAAAAGATGTTGTGCGCGATCGTGCTGACCGCGAGAAACCAATGTGAGAGCGCGTGTAAGCATGTCCGAGGTGAGAAGTTCCATACGTCGTTGAACGACGCTTGGGTGGGGTGGAATGGGCGGTGCGCTATTCCAAGTCGTGTGCTTCTTCTGGTTTGTTGGGGCAGGAAGCATCGTGATTGCTAAGAGTGAAGGGCGGGGTAGATGAGCAAGTGTTCCATCTCTGAGGATGTCTCCCCAGGTGAGATCAGCTTGGATCAGAGGAACTTCCTCTATTGATACGACTCGTTGATCTTCTTGATCAAGTGACCCACCAAGAGCCTCAAGACCAGAAACTATAGAGTCCCATGGATCCTGAGCGAGTTGTTCCTGAGAAGCATTATCGGGAGCAATAACTAGCTGCACTAAAATATCCCTCTTATCGCCAAATCTCAAATCCCCCAAAGATGCCTCGGCGTCTTTACCTGTTGCACGCTTAGTGATCTGTAAAGCCCCGCTAATCTTAACAAATTTAGCTGGCGATCCCTCGGGAAGTCTAAGCTTTAATTTCACATTTTGATGTGACATTGTTTGAAGAGATCCAAGACAACCTGCAAGACATTCTCGCAACATCATCCAATCTTTGACGTATGTGTAAGAAGCTTTGGTTCGCGTTGATAATTCAATCATGGTGTCTGGCTTATGTGTCATACCGAGTCCGAAAGAGTGAACGGCAATCCTAAGTAAATTTTGTTAGCTGTGATTTTCTCTGCAGAATACTAATATCAACCACTTACTTAGCCGCCTCAGCTCTTGATACCACAAAATCCACGCTCTCCGCATCAGATGTCGACGAGTCACTAATCAAAAGAATCGTAGCAATTGGATTATTCGACCTCCGTTGCATGAGAAGATCCATCGCCACGTTTGCACCCTCCACAACATCTGCTCGATGACTCTTTTGTCCAACTGGTCTGATCGACGCCAAAGTTTGCTGCCATCCATTCCATGTTCTACTAGTCATCCCTACAAGTGGTGCTGCACCGCCACTAGAACCAAATGTGACCAAACCCATACGATCACGATCTCCCAGGTTGGAAACCATAAATTTCAATGCATCTCTTACAAGAGTAATCTTGACACCTTGCATCGAAGAAGATATTGGAATCACAACCACAATATCAACAGGAACGTGTATTGCAGCTGGTAGCCGTAGACCTCTAGGGCTACTTGCGTACTCTGCCTGTGCAGTGGCCGCGGATCTAGGTCCGTACCCCGAGGAAGCAACTGAAACTCGCTGGAGACCTGTGGAATCGCGATTCCATTCTTCTTCTTCTGGTTCTGAGAGATCGTAATCTGGACTTCGTGCGGGAGATCCCTCGATAGCGTTTAGGTCCAATAAAGCCTGTTGCCACAATTTGAGCTGATTGCGATTATCGAACTTGAGATGAAATGATGGGAGTTCGGCCACTGACAGACTCAAGGTCAATATGTTGTTATCTTCAGTAGGGCGTAAGTTAGCTGCGGTGATTTTTTCGGTTTGTCCAAGAGAATTACCAGATCCTGATTCAGTCACCTCGTTTAAGTGCTTTTTGATTAATATTGAACCTTTGAGTGTGCATCGGGTACTTTTGCGAACGCCGTTGGATTCATCCCAAGGTTGTGATGATGAAATCTTCTTTTCCTTTACGCAGATAAGCATTTCTGCGAACAAGAAACATTCCAGTTCCTGCCAAGATTGCCTGTCTTTTCCAACTCGAATAGTTCCATACAATCGTAATTTTCCAAACCTGCTTATCATTAGTATTTTATTTGTTTCCTACAACGAATGATGACACATACCTATTAAAATCAAGGCCATGCCAATTTTCAACCCGGACTCGTAAACCTTCAGTGATTTCGTCCAAAACCTCTGGAGATTCATAGGGGTAGAAACGTGGTGCGCTCTGGGCTGGAGATGGGGGTCGAGCATAGGTATCTTCAGGTCGAATGTTGGGTAGTGGAGGGGCACCTCGAATATCATCTGGGTCGGGTCGCCATTTAGTGTCCGGAACCTCGATTGTGATAAGACAAGTCAAAGTTTGTTGCTGTCTGGACCTGTTCAAGGTTGGAAACTCTGAACGAATGCTAACAACCGGTGCTGGTATGGGGTTTCTTGTAACACTTGCTCGAGGGCTTATAAGATTCGATTCCAACGCTTGCACATCGTAGTCATGGCGGCGAGGTGGGCCGCTTGTTGCAGTCTCTGGATATCCAACAGACGATGGAGCATTTTCGCTATCGTTCCTTTGGTGCGAGATTCTCGATGGTTGTGCGTATCTATCCATGCGCTCTCGACTATCCCTACTATCTCTGTTGCTACCATTATCTCTGCTATTGTCTCTAATGTGGGTATCCTGGCTGTTCGCTCTTGTTCTCGTAGTTCGAGCATTGGATTCGCGACTGGGTGGTCGTACGGTTTGGGATTCCCAATTCGAGGGTGTGGGTGTTGATCTCGCGGACTGGTCGCTGGCCGAAACTGAACGCACAATACTACTTAGCTTCTCTGGAGGGGCAGCAGGAATCAGCTTTAGTTTTCAGGGAAGACGAACCACTACTTTTGAAAGTCTTACCAATGTCAAGAACATTGCCTCCTCGACTCGTATCCAGACCTAAGGGCGCATTGCAAGTTGGGCAATATTGAGCGTCGCTTTCCTTGATGTATTCGTAGAAACATGCCTCATGGGAGACATGGCCGCAGGAAAATTGTAGTATTCGTTCGCCTCGAAGGGTATGTTCCAATGGCTCTTCACACACAGAACATTCGCTGCCAACAAACGTCCTCTCCCTCCTGTTACGAGTTCTATCCGTGTCCAACATTCCTGACATTCCACCACCAGCTCGTTGTTTGAAATCACGATTCGCCTTACTGGCTAGAGGGGAAACCGAAGAGAACGACGTATCTGAAATCCCACGAGTATGTTCAAGAACTTTTTGATTATCTGATGAAGAAGAAGTATACAGGTTAGTCAATGTGAAGGTAATTTTCACGCATTAGTATGAGCGGAGGGGTGGAGTAATGGCAATTTGGAGTTTGGCTACTGCGTACCCTTTTTGGGATGGGATCCTGCAACGCGGGCTCCACTAGACAAATCCTTGACCTTGTCTCTCTCTCGTCTCCTGGATCTTTTATCCGAGTCGCTGAGTAGTCCAAGCTCATACAACCTTGAAACCTGGTCTTTTTGTTCCTCTGCTCTGCGGCTAAAGCTAGTGAGATTCCTACCAGTATCGGAAGTGGAAGGGGTGGTGTTATGTCCCAAGAGCCTTTTCGACATGAACTGCTGTTCCAGAGGGTCTTGTTTTTAAAAGCTCTGTCCGTCAATATTAAGTTTGTTTGCCCACTTTTTTCTGAATATAATCCGCTGCTAAAAACCCAATCGATCCAAGATTTATGAACAGTAACGTAATAATTCTCAGCACATAAAATGTTCGCTTGTGAGAGTTGAGACCCGGCCAAATCCTGAAAGTCCGAATCCAGGAAGATTTGGGGTGGCGATGCTAAGAATTGCGCGCTGTGAGATTTCGATCTCTATCTCTCGGGACTCTAAATTTGGGTATGGGAATGAGGACAGGACTACCGGGAATGGGTACAGGAGCTAATTGTAATCCAGAGGGTGTGACGCTGTGGGGAATTTTTGCAAAAGGCTTTCCACTCTTCACTGTGCTGATTCACGGCTTAGGTCAGAGTAATTGAGTAGGATTTGAGGTAGGAATGACCACCATTCGATATAATTCGAGATCCCGTGTTTGGGTACCGGGCTGCAGTTGTGAAAAGACGAGCTGAAGTGTTAGGCCAGTAATGCAAATGCAGTTCAATCGAGTGGGCGTCCGAGAGCTTTGCGAATTACTACTAGAAGGGAGGGGCGAGACTTGCGAATTTGCGAATCATGAAATTGTGCGAATCGCGACTACAGGGCAATTGAGTTCATTCGTGGGGAGCCTAGTGAAATATGATGAAAGTTTGAGAGAGAGCATGAAGTGAGCGAAGAGAAGAAGTTGACGAGCAGCAAGATGTGGAAAGACAAATGTGAACGCCGTCCACTTACAGTAGGCAGCAAGTGATGGCACCACCATAACCATATCTAGGCAGTAAAGATAGCAAGCAGTTGTCTGGAAGAAAAATTGAATAATGTTATGCCGGACCTCCATGATACCCAACAGCTCAAATGCATGGATTCAGGCACGTAAACGATGGGCGCTGTCCAGGATACCTACAGGACTGAATGATTTTCAGGATTTCGGAGTCTGGCTTCACAAGGACGAGCATGACGGGATTGGTTCAATGGAGGGGTTGGTCAAGATTTGGTGGTTGTGGTGGTGCAGGAATAATTAATGGCAGTAACGACTTCAGGTAATAATCTTGAGAATGATATCGCAAAATGCTCAGACTGACTTGAAGCAGACAGACCTCGGGTATTTAGTAAGCTTCTTCCAGTTTAGCACAGCTCCGGAAAACATGGATCTACGTATCGAAGCACATGCTAGAGTGTGCATAAGAAAGTTATAACGCGAAAGTTAGAATAATGAATTTCCCTTCCACGCTTGGAAATCAATACTCGTCAGGTACTAGTACACAGTAATTTGAGCATCTTTTGCAAGGTAGCGAAGCGATTATCATACGACAAATCCGATATCAATATGAAGGGACTGTACGGTTAAATAAACGGATTGCAGCAGGCCCTTTCCGACCCTCTGAGATAATTCGAAAGGTCCAGTTTATTAGCAATCACTGTAGACACGTTGACATAATAATGACAGCTTGAGAAATTGACGGGACAAGTTTTGTTTCTCCTTTGACACGAGCCGAAACAAGGTAGATCAACAGGAACTGTGGCTTTAGGCTGTACCAGTAGCTGCACATCTCATATAGCCCGTAGGGTCCTAGTATAAGATGAACTTCGGAAATTTTACCAGAAGAGAAACGATCTCCACGTCGGTAACTTTCTACTTGCAGCATGCAGTTGATTGAACTTCTGGGTGTGTGAATTACATTACACTTGTGTTTTATTTACACTGCACTCGACGCAATATTCTGGATCTCACCACCTTCTAAACTCGGTTCCTCGTAGGTTTATCTTCAATCTTTAACTCCCACCAGCCCCCAGTCTCCAGCAACATAACATGATAAAGGAACGATATTGCTATCCCAGCCTTCTGCAGTTCTCGACTGCACATTTTAGCATTCAACCCATCGTGCCAATCAAACGATGGTATCATAGTGCTGCCATCCCTGGTCCGCGCCCGTTACCCGCCTATTCTCTCGGATATCCCTGGTCTGTGAAAATGCTCACCAGGGTCTATCTCCATCATGCATGCAAAAATAATTACAGGGTACATAAAACAAGGAAGATCTTGCGTGTGGAAGTAGCCAGTCACAGCCAAAATCACGGAGTATTACTATCTTTAAGTTCTGCAGGATAAGTTTTTGTCTATCCGATCATTTCTTCTTCTGGTCATTAACGGCTGAAAGAAACATATTTATATGATACTCGCAACCTTTCCTCGGGGTATTAGGTTTTCAGGAGAGGAAGATTCCCCAAAAAGAATGCAGTCCCCCATTCTTCCCAGTCTTCTCTTCCAATTGTTTGTTAGCAATCCGATGGGGGAAGAAAAATCGATGATTCGTTTCTTCGTTCCGTAAACAGTAGAAAGAAATGATTCGAATACGAAGGAAGTCTTTAACGTCTTTGACTATCGACTATCGACTATCTGAGACGAATCCGACGATGTTCTAGAGAACTGGAACTAGACTTATTATTGCGCACTATCTTGAACTATTTGATTCTGGCATCTGTCATATTGATTCAGACCCCATTCTTAACACTTCACTCGATCCTGAGGTTAGAACCGGTGGTCCGGTGGGTAAGATTCTTATTAAAAGCCCCAATGTGGAAATATTCTAAAGCTCTCAACCCCACAACACGAAGCATGAAATAAGTACAAATAATGATCTGCCCTATAAGAAACGGATCGACCTCTGCTACATGCGTAATCAAAAGTGATTAGGGAGAAAATAAAGCCGGATTTTTGGGTCCTTCCAAGTTCCAACTCCTATTTTTCTGCTGCAGACATCGTGGTTCCCACGCGGTTTATATCAATGTCTCATCCCCATATCCACTTTCGATCGTCGAAACTACGGGAATGCCGCCACTGAAATCAGGAACAGAAATAGTGATATCCGCTGTCATTACCTTTCGATAGACATTATTGGAATATGACAAGAGTCAAGGGACAAGAAACGTAAATGCCATTTTGTTAGCCTGCAATGACTACATGTCGTGTAGGTTGTGCGGCCGAGGCCTAGACGACCTGAAGAAGATTCAAGCCACAACCACTAGACTCAAATAATTACTCCGAGACTGCTCAGATGTCTTCTAGAAACCTTCGAATCGTGTGGTCAGAGCTTTAATATCCAGATGCATATCAGAATTGTATTTTCCATCCTGAGCGTCCTTCTAGGATAGGTTCAAGAATAGATCTTAGTGTACCTCTCTCGAGCCTCTCTAAATATGGAAGATTACACGATCGATCTAATCTTATTAAGCTACTGACTCCCAAGGAGGATTTCAGAGGATTGAGTTACTTGTACGGCACCTCCGTTCTGTATGCAATTAGGTGCACCCGCAAATGTGTGCTTATTAAAAGCAACTTCGGCAGCTAAAATGACTATCTATCGCCTGTGTTGTATGAATTCCTCAGTCGCTACATGCGCATCAGCTGTAACTATTGTCTCGTCATTTCTTAACACATACCAAGAGCTATAATCATGCAATATGCTTACAGCATCGAAACTAAACGATCACATGTTTAAACTATCGCCGCATGTATCAAGCTCGAAATGTACAATTGCGAGCAACAGCCGGCTTTCATTTCATCTGATTCGTTTAAATTCTATCAGATGTTAGACAGCGTGGCTTGATGTTACCCGAACTACTCCCAAAACTTCTATCAGTATCTGATGTCAGCTTCACATAGCTGCGCCGCGGATAGTCATTGCAGCTTTCAAAGTGGCGCTCGCATACATACAAAAAGAATATTCACAGAAAAATCAAATGCTGTCGAAGCGCAAAAGAGTTGTGATTGGTCAACGAATCTACCTAATGACAAAGATATCATCATTCTGTCTTTCAACCCACTATCGTGCAGAATACATGCTGCGATGTTACCCTCCGAGTACATCTTCGTCCCGATCAAGAAACATCTGACAACATTATCACCATTTTCGGAAGTTGCTTTACGAGCAGTGTAACAGTCCTACAAGAAAAATCCTTCGCAAACCTCACCTTGAAACACATGCAACCAGTAACATAATAAATTCACATCGATCTTTTGTCCAAAGGTAACCTTCTTCAAGCATTTTCTAATACACCCCAACCCCTTTTGACAACGATCAGTTTTTGGTGGCTTGCATGTTCATGTCGATGTCCGTGAGATCGTCGCGTGCTAAGCATGGACTCTGATTGCTGTGGTGTCCGCAAACATCAATATCATAGTTGATAATTCAAAAAAGATAGTTTTGCTAAATTGGCGTTTCTTGTATAGTATGAACCGCTCCAGCTGGACAAACTTTGGTCGTAACGCATTCAAACTCTATCATCCATGTCGTGTTCTGTGCAGAACGATGTCAATCCATCAAACTGTGGTCGCTCAACTTTCAAAGGTAATCTAAATCTACAAGAACGTCTCCAAGATCTATGTGCTTCAGATTCTTGTTACATTTCTCGATCAGTGCCATGGAATTATCACGGGTGTCAGTGCGAATGCTTCCCATTACCTCATTACATGAAACGTGTGCTTTCCAGAGGCGGTTCACAATAGGGTTCCAAAGACGTCTGGCCCACGTAACTGGATTTACTTCCTTGTTAGTTTGTCAAGGTCGACCTACTCTGTATTTTATCTTTCTTTACTATTTGGAATGCGACCACTATTCATTATCTGTGCATCAATGCATTCGAGAACTCGAGCTTTGTCGCTTGTTAATTTAGCCTCACATTCTTAGCCTCGTATTTGGCGTACTAATAGCATTGTCAAAGAACGGAGCTTTTCTTTACATCCGCATCGCTGATCAGTTTCTGCCCTATAAGGTTCTGTCAGTGCTTACTGCTTGGTCAATTCTACCTTCCACTTCTATTCAAACCTATGAATTCACTAATGAGAATACCAAAGCGGTAAGTTTGGTTTGTCATCTTCTAGTCAACAACTCGGGCATCTGTTTTCCCCTCTGTCTTGATTGACTCTAACGACCATTTCAAAACTTGATGAATTGAGGTTCGTCTTGACCAGATCAAAGTGTGAAGACTAAGAACAGTGTGGACAGTTCAACTCGTCAACGAACTAATTACCATCATCATCATGAGCAAGCTAACCTTGCTGATCATTTCCCTACGTTAATCATCATGCTCCGGTTGACATCGTCACATAAATCTCATAGCTTTCTAAACTTAATATACACGATCCCTCTATCCAAGCTCACCCAACACCTCACCAGTCCACTTCCTCCCGGGCGCGCGCCCTCTACCCCGCAAAGCTAAGATTTTCTACATGCAGATTTTCAGCGCAATATAGGCGCAATCGACATGAACAACGGTGATTAAGATACTTATACTTTTTCAATCCACCTGAACCGGTACGCTTTGATCAAGATTACATACTACTGTTGATAATTTTCACCTTGTGCTCACGCTCTTAGCTACAATCTGTCTTGGCCCAACACTAACCCGAGTCATCAAGGCATCATGAATACGGATTGAGGAATCGTGAAAACTCAAAACATCCTCATTGTTCCTGCGCATGCAAGTAGAATACCCACATTTGCTATCCAAGCTAGAGGAACCCTTCTTTGCTGCAATGACTCCAGCACACTAAGATCTAGACTAGAACTTTTCTTGAGTAGTCAAAACGCCCGGCCGTGGTTTAACCGATGAAGATCCAGCTGGGTTGATACTTTGAGTTCCCGCGTGCCTTTGACGGTCGTTTGATAGATATTGCAATTACAGTAGCTATCTGATAAGTGCATGCAGTATCCATCTACATATTATAGGTCAGATAATGCCACTCCACCAGTCGTCGAGCCACATGCCATCAGAACGCCACAAAAGCATAATACACATAACTTCCCCATTGCGTTTGCGCCTCACATTGTCTTTCAGCTTCTCACTATGAGTATAACCGATAGCATCACATTCCTATCACTTCCTGACACACGAACACACATAGTCCGGATACTTGCAACACTCTTATATAAGCATGCAGATAAACAGCACTGAGCAATGATTCGATACGTCGTATGTGTGCCTGCCACCATCCGCCTCGATGTCTACCTTGTCCACATACTACAGGCAGTTAAATACCCGTACAATATACCCGAGCACAAAGCAAATCCTGCGAAAGCCAGTACGTACATACGGACAACTTTAATTTGCGGAGGCAAACAAAAGACGTAATCTTCAGCCCTAGCTACGGGCCTTTTATATACCAAATTCATGCAAACCCTTGAAATTTGCAGTGTACAAAATCACCTGGATTTTAAAGAGGGGATGAGATACTTGGAGGGCAGAGGCTCGAGCTCTTTTTGGCGGGGTACATCCACCAACATCCACTACTAAGCCACCAACACAAATTTTGTAGGTTCTACAAGGTGCCTGGATGTGAAGTTGATGGGTTTTCATGCCGTTCGTCGGGTGTAACCAATCGTTGATAATCTATCTAGATGTCTGCACTGGATTTAATCATTGACACACTGTTACGAGGCGCGTAGGGAATGTTGGGGTTGCAAGTACGAATGTTGTAATAGTCTACAAGCATTTGAATCGTGGTTTTAGGTTATTTACCCAAGATTAGATACATGTTGGGAAGATTTGCAAAACTCAAATAGTAGACTAGTTTTGGGTAGACTCTGATCTATCAGACCCAGTCAGGGTCAGGAACCGTAACCACACTGTTGGTAAATGATGCTACAAACTTCCTTCCCATCGCGGAAAATATCAGTAAACTAGATAGGCTACCCATCTGCTTGGTAATGCAGGAAAATGTTACGGAGTGGTGCCGAAAGTATATCAAATTAATAACAGACTATCATATACCTCTGGCCATTCTCCTTCTCGTATTTGCTTTTTAGTTTCCAAATGCCGGCGGTGCACTGATGATAGATACCGTGCGCGGGGGTGGCGTGAAAATAATCATTTTCTTTGCTTTTGGGGACCAGTGGATCAGTGCTTGTGGTAGATCCTGTTCATTTAATTTCTTGCTTGAGATTGAAAACCCTATGTCTGCGTGATTTGATGGCTCACATCACATAATTTGACTCCGACATGATGTCTCAGTGTATGAGACAGCAAGCGTTTTCTCCGCCTTCATCAATGGGAAGAGTAAATCTGCCTGGTGAATCTGACAGGAGATTTCCAAAGGTAGACCAGGAAACTTGAATACGGTTGGAGTCTCTTCAGAATATCAGTCGTTTGCGTTGCAAGTGAATGACGATCATTACCGAGGTGCCTCGTTGAAATCACATCCTCAAAGTCATACTCCCAATCTGAAATGGCGCTTACTAGCCTTGAAGACTCTCCGTCTGTATGAACTGTTAAGAGTTCACCAACAGTCCAAGCCTCGGAAGTCCAGGCGACTCATATCCTCGAGAGATGTCTTGATGCCCTGAGTCAAGGGTCAAGCCATCAGAACCGTCGATCATTCTGGGCAATCTTTCTGGCAGTAGTCTCGCTCGGGATTGATTATTCCCGCAATGACTACTCATGCCCCAGTTGAATAAGTTCATTGCCGCCATTTTCAATCATTATCACGTCACGACCAACGATAGGATTGTGATAGCACAATTATCGTGGTATGCGGAGAGCCGAGGTTGCCGGGCAGTGACGGGCCACACTGTGATACCGAATCCATCCGGCATCCAGATTGACCAATTTTCACAATTCTCCACTTTCACCAGTGGGTAAAGAACTCTTTCCCCAGCCTATTTTCGCACGGCATTCGGACTGTCCATATCGTTTCATCTCTCTGATTCATCTCATGGATCATGTCCTCCTGGGCTTTCGCACTAAGCCATCTTGATACCCGTCAATTCCGTCAGGTAGATTAATGGCCTGTTTTACGCACTCGCAAATTACTGCGCTTAAATTAATGATATCTCTGTCTGAGCTTCGATATGAGGAAAGCATACAAAACGACAACATGTGATATGCGGTCCTCGGAATTTCATTTTCGTTAATGCGTCTTGCATGTCTCATCACAGACAGTCTTACTTTCCTGCACCTTCTGCTCATGACCACTGAACAAATCCACAATCACTCCCGAAAAACGGGGCTGCATCTTACGTTTTTCCAAGTACGGCATTGAGATATGGGGCGAGCTTCTCGGTACCAAACAAAGTTTTTGGAAACTTCTTCACGCGGGTGTGGAGCTGGTACCGGTCTCCGGAAGAGCTTTGTTGCAAGGACCAGACGGAGCCGACATGCAGGTGCTTTAAGTTTCGTGATGAAATTGGCGATATGAGTTTCAGGTCTGCGGTGATGAACTTTGTGTTCCAAGCGAGGCTCGAAAATGGGGGTATCCTCCGCGTGTGGATCCGAACACATTTCCGACCGTAGGGAAAGGCCGAGGATTAGCTATCGGCGGCAGTAATCGAATTGGAGTGTCGATATATGCCACATGTTAAGTTGATATTGCCGTGATTTTGAGTGCATGCAACGCAGTTGAGGAAACTTTCCGCGGGCGGGCCCGTCGTGCAATGGTTAGGAGCGATAGATATAAAAGATTGGAGCGTTTTTATGACTGGGTTATCGTAGTACCAAAAATCTGCCAGAATATTCATGACAGAGAAAAAGATGCTGTCATCTTTGGTATGTCCAAGGACTGAACATGTGTATGGCACATTGTGCAGCCGCGACAGAAGTAACCAAGCGCTTTTATCAATTGATGCTGAAGTCTTATCGCGAAACATGACAGGTTGTTGTTTCGTGCGACATGAAACGGTGCTGTCTGCAGATTTACCCGGATAAATCCCCAAGTGGTCACCTCTTGCTGAGTTCATCCTCTCCCGTTCGAAGGTATGTCTGTCGCATCGGCGGTGGTGAATAATCTCGCGCGAAGTTTCGCATTTTAGTATGCACAGCCGAATGAATAGCTGGTTGTGTGTGTGTGTCCTCTCCCTGTTGCATCGTGACAAGGCTTTTCCATGATTTTCGAAGACTGCAGGAAGTAAAATCAACTATTACTGTAGAAATCATGGCTGTAGGGGAAGGCTTTTAGACAATTGTTCTTTACCGATCCATTTGGTTGCAGTGGAATCGTCCGAAAAATCAATTCTCCCAGTTTAAACCAAAATCAATTGAAGGATAAATGGCATTGGCCCAGCTTTCGAGGTTGATAGTCCCTACTTCTCGGCTGACCCATGAGGAAGCCGTTGCCCTTCAATAATGCATGAGCTTCATGGATTATATGTACCACGAGGCTGAGGAAGTGTGCTGCGCCCTAATAATATGGTGTCACTCTTATCAATATTGGGTAGTATAAAGCTCCTTCCTTTTGGTGAGCAAGACAAGTTCTTCAATTTCACGACTCTCTTGCAATGGCAGCTCCTGTAGTAGCATCGGCCAACGCTCATGACCCATGGCTCATTGCCAAGAACCGCTTCATCGATCAACTTGATCCTGCTGAGAGGGCACTGTTCAATGAGGCTACACCAGAAAATCTTTACTACAAATCTAGCAATATTCAGAAAGCCGATCAGAGAAATAGCAAAACTCGAGCGATTTTGAAGTCTCTCGAGCCTTTGACGAAATCCATCCAAGATTATGGTGCGGCGATGGATACTGTCACCAATATTGCCCCATTATACCTTGCTCCAATATGGGGAAGTATTCGTGTTATACTTGTCCTGGCTAGCAGCCACGGAAAGTTCTATGATCGAATAATAGACACTTTTGCTCGCGTGGGAGATATACTTCCACGATTGCGTAAGCATAATTTCCTGGGACCCTTTTTGCATGCTGAAACTCCGAGATAGGCGAATATCAAGCAATTTTTGACCAGGAAAAACACCCGAAGTTTACGCAAACTCTGTCAGCAGCGTATCTCGACATAATTGTGCTTTGTTCAAATTTCAAGAATATATTGACCGGGCAAAAATCCTCCTTCATCAAGCGTTTAAGGTCTCCCTTGTCTACATCTCTTGGAGCGCAACTTGATAATGCTGTGCAAACATTTAGAGAGCACCGTAAAGCGGTTGAGAGTGAAGCTAAGATGTGCCATTACATCGAAGCGAAGGAGTCTAGAGAACTTGAATTGAGAGAAAGAATGCGGAGCAAAGAACAAGAACGAAGTAGGTGATATAGGAGGCTACTATGTGGTTATTTTGTGTTCTGACTACGGACTAGGAGACAGACTACGAAGGATCATCTCCCAGATGGCCACCGTTGATTGCAGAAACAAGCATCGTCGACTGCAGAAGGTACGGTATCATGGAACCGGGAGCTGGCTAGCCGGTATGGCCGACTTCAGTAATTGGAAAACCCAGCAAAAGTCTTCTGTCATGTCATGTTATGGCATTCGTAAGCTGCAGATATTGCTCTCGGATTAATAAATGCTAAATTCTACCAGCTGGATCCGGCAAATCGGTCTTAGTTTCGAGCCTTATAGACGGTTCCAAAATGGTATTTCCTGCCGATACTGCCATTTCCTATTATTATTGCGACTATGCCGATAAGAGAACACTTTCGCCGAGTGGTATTTTTAGTTTCATCTCTCAGAAGTTATTTCGTGACATGAATGAAATCCCCGAAGCTTTGATAGCTATCATTGAGGCTGAATATACAGATGAAGCCACGTCACTTAGCCTTGATCAAACAGTCGCTTTGCTGATAAAGGCGATAGATGAGCTTTCAAGTGTGGCTATTTTTATTGATGGTCTAGACGAATTGCCTGAGTCCGATCGGAAGCTTACTTTCTCAATCTTGAAAAAGATCCTCAATGAGGCAACATCGCCAGTCAAATTATTTATCTCCAGTCGCGAGGATGTTACTTATCTTTTCCAATCTTTATCCGGACTCACCACTTTCAAAGTGCACCTTCAAACTAATTCTATCTCTCCAGATATCGAGGCATATATCAGACATGCTATCGATGAACTAATCACGTCTGGCGACTTAGTGCTGGGTGACTTGGCTCTAAAAAAAGATATTTTCAATGTTCTCAGAGATGGTGCGAAAGGAATGTGAGTGTTTTCTTCCATCCTCGCTATGCAAGTATGCTGAAATTGCTTCAAGGTTTCTTTGGGCTCAGTTCCAGCTTGAGGAACTCTGTCGCATGGAAACAGATGCAACAATAGTAAAAGCTCTACAGAATCTTCCTCGAAATCTTGAAGAAACTTATGACCGACTTCTTGGACGGATCATCGAGATCGAAAGGCGTGAATTTGTGAAAAGGATGTTTGACTGGATTATTTGTTCATGCAGACCATTGCACATGGATGAGCTCCGGGAGGCCATAGCTTTCACTGTTGGCGATAAATCATGGGATGCTACGAAAATACCCAATGACCTTCGAAGATTAATTAGAGCTTGCGGAAATCTTATTGTGATTGATGAAGACACCCTAGAGGTGCATCTTGCGCACTATACAGGTGAGAAGTTCTATACATCAAATCATGCAAGAAAGTTGGGGTGTCTTCATTTGACTACTTCCTTCGTCAGCAAATTGCGCGAGAAATCAACAGTAGCTGATCGTAAAGCATTTCATTAGTTGAACAGTATATACTACATTCGCAAAATTCCGAGTTGGCATACTTTCACACCACAAGGGAAGCGTCAAACAGAGCACTGGGTGTAACATGTGTGACTTATTTATCTTTCACTGATCTCGAAGCACAAGTCACAGTATACCACAATACTATCAGTCCAAATATGACGCTATTACAGGACGCCGTTACCACCCAGTCTTTGATACCGAGGGCTTCGCAGTCATCAAACCTTCCGGTCAAAGTCGCCAAAGCCGCTTTAAATTTTCGAAAATTCAGTGAGAACAATAAAAGTAATATCAATTATTCTCACTATATTCAAAATCGAAAGCATGGAATGACCGACCAGCAGCTCGTCGACAAGTATCGGCTGATCGCTTACCTGAAAGAAAATTGGCTTTCACACACTAAGGATTTCACAGAAGAGATTGGGAGCGAGATAAGAGAATTGTTCAAAAGCCTCCTCTTTAATAAACAACTCACCTTCTCCGTCAAACCCTGGGATAAGTTTTCTTCCGGTGATTGTGCCAAGATTGCACAGTTGTGCTGGGCGTTGGCCGAAAAACACCTGCCATTACTGAACGAAGTCTTAGCAAATGATCAGAGAACTTCTGATTACATTAGTGAGGCATGTCTGCTGTTCTGGAACTCCATAGAATATCACGAAATGGATGAACGGCGAAGAGTAATTGACTTATCAAACCAAAGTCTCGAGATATTGGAAAATCGTTCTCTCGAAGGAGTATCGTCGAAAACGGACTGTCTTTTCTGGCTCTATAGCCAGATGATAATTGCGTGTCAACAAGGAAACAGCGAAATCTTGCGACTATGCGTTAAGTTTATTGATGAAACGAGCTTGCTGGCTTTCCCAGGTCTTGGTACCCAGTGTAAACAATCGCTGACACTGAAGTCTCTTGTGTTCGCACATCTTAGTCTCGAAGCATCTATTCATGGCCATTTGTATCTCGTGCAGAAGTTGCAGACAGATTTTCGCTCGCGATTATGGGCGGCTTATGAATTTGAAGGATCATATTTCAACCCATTGGAACGAGCAATAATGCTTCCATACGATGAAATAACCGATTACCTCATAATCAGAGACTGTCCAGTGTCAAACGGAGCCAAGCTTAATGCTTTAGAGACCCACAACATAAAAGCTATTGTCGAGTCTGGTGACTCTACAACACTGGAACGTCTTGTAAAATTTCTAAGAAAGCATGAATACGATGTTGATATCTGCAATAGCAGACCCTCATATTTTGGGACATATGATGAGGAATATAGGTACGAAATCTGGAGATACAAACTAGATGCGATTAAAACCGCAGCTTCTCTCGGTCTCTGTGATTCCCTTCATATAATACTCAGTTGGGAACCGTTAAACTCCGAAACTGATTTCTTTGCTGAAAGGCACGGGGCCTTTCTGACGGCCATAGCTTGTTCACGCCTGAAAATCATAAAGTATTTACTTTTGGTTGATCACTATAAAGATCAGCGATACTGGCTCCAGCCCGCAGCTCCTGAAATGTACGGTTTGACGCAAGACTTCCAGCATATGTCTCTCGTGGAGTACGCTGTTGAAAACCGAGAGATCTCCGAAAAATTCAAAGTCTCTGTGCTAAACGCAGTTAGTTTTGCTGAGGATTCCGGTTCAGTTTCACGCATAACTAGCTCGGAAAAATCTGATTGGTCTTTGATACATGCAATCACTGAAGGGAAGACCGAGGCGGTCATCCGCCTCGGCGGCCGTAAGAATTTTGACAGCAGATACTCGGCTCGAAACCTGCCAAAGATACCTCTTGTAATTGATGACTATCTTTGGCCAGGTTGCCAGAGCGATCCATGGCACAAGGAAGCCACTCCATTGGTATGGGCTGTTATCTATAATCGCCCCCAAGTGGTCGAAGTCCTCTTATCGCAAGGAATCTCATACAAGGGTCTTAACACACTTGAAGTTGCCGCAACATGCGCTGTTATAATGGATTCTGTAGAAATATTCTCGCTACTAGAGGAAGTTCGAATCTCTGATTACGACCTGACAATAGTTGCATGGGGATGCAGATCAAATTTCTTCGCAAAAGGCGATCTAATCGATCGAGCTTTAGCACGGGGCAAGCATCATCAGCAAAAATATCATCCCAAAGTTGCGCGCTATATAGATTCTTGGGTTCTTTGGCATTGGAGAGGCAAAAGCCCGGATTCCACGGAAATATTACGGGAAAATCTCAAGAGAGCAACACCCGAAGAGAGAAACGAAGTTTCAATCGAAAACCGTTTTGAGTTGCCTGCATCCAATGAAGTAATGAGCATAATTCCCAGCAAAAGAATACATTACCTTTCAGAACCCGGTTCCAGTCGGATGAGAAATTTTTCTTTTTATCTGGAGGACCCATATGCATTTTCACGGGATGTAGTACGGCAATCTAGCTTCCAAGATGAACCAGGCTACACCAAAACGTCCGATGGCGTTTCCATCATGTCTGAATATTCCCACATTTAGCCCACCACGTCTTACTCAAGTAGTGTGGTAAATTTTATCCCAGTTTTAATATCGAAGCTCATACCTTCATTGGCATGACTTTGTTTATTGTTCCAGGAGGCTTCAAAATTATATTCAACGCCAATCAAATTAGGGTAACTGATAACTCCATCTTAACACGTATGAGTATATGCCAGCAAACGGACAGTTTACATCTAGCGGTGGATATCATTTACTATATACAATCTCCTACATACACCACAGATAATCCATACAGCGCCGTTCAAACCTCAAGGCCCAACAATACTTTGGATATCATCCACCCTCCTCTCTTCAATCCACTCAATAGCCTCATTCCTATTCCTACAGACATGTGCTTGTCCCTCCCCCGTAGCATCAAGCACACTTTCACTTCCCTCCAATGTCATATCAGCCATACACAGTATCTGATTGCGCAAATATTCGAAACAATGCGACGCATGCATATCATTTCGAGCGCCACCGAATCCAAAAGTTTGACCGGAAGAGAGAACCAACTGATGATAGGTGTCTACTGTATAGTAAAGCTGTTGTGGTGGTCAGTGATGAGGCTCATGCGAATGGGAGTAAAGAGGAGACTTACACAATGTAAAGCATGTGTCCATGATGCTTCAAATATAGGACCGGAACGGATGGGGTCGTCGACGATAGGTTTACCTAACATGGGATGTTCTTCGTAATCAGGGATTTTGACAGTTCCACTGCCCACTGTCCAAGGTCAGTGTGTTTCTGAAACCTTTTCTTCATCGTTTGTGACTCACATGGCATTAACATATCCCAGTTATGACGAATTTGCATTCGATCATCATTACTTGACATATTTGGGAAGAAAGATGATTCTTCTCCTTTAAGAAGTGTCCACTTATGAGATTCTATACCAAAGAGTTAGCATCCTCCTTTTCGCAAGAACGGAAGATGAACTTACGAGGAATATAAAGCCCATTGATATCGCCGCCAGTTTCTGTATCAGCTGGTACCCAGCCCTCCTCATTACTAACCTCGCTCTTCTTTCCATTCCTCAATAATAAATATACAATTAGACTCTGCATGACGATAACGACGCCCCATCGTGCCCACATCAAAATATTATTCAATTTCCTACACGACTTTTTGTCTTTAGATATCTTACGGAAACGCGAAGGGGACGAAGCTTTTGAGGTCGTGTATTTTTCATGTGATCCGAGGGTAGTGTCGGAGTCATTTTCAAGATCAATGTCTTCGATGTCCATCTCAGAAATGGGTTGGTAGATACTTGCGGATTCTTTGGGAGACATCTCTTTTTTTCTTTTTGGAATATTTGGTTTGGGATTAGTTTGTCTCTGGAGAGATGGAGATATGGGACGAAGGAAAGGAAATTGAGAACCAGCTCGGTAACAAAATTGGAGGATAAATTTTTTTACAATCGAAGCAAATAGATTATTCAAGAAAGATGACGGAAAATTTTACCAGAACCAGTTCTCGTTGTGCGTAAGAGAAGTAATGGAAAAGTTGACGATGATAGTGTAGTACAAAAGGATGAGCCTCACAAGATCAATCGATAAAACTGCACAATAAAGCATTCTATCTCTCTGTCATTATCTTGATTCGTACTCCTTTCCCTCTCCACTCATAACCTCCAGTTTCACAAGTCATACCAACCGTTAATCTTCTATCCAACGTTCCATACCACCGCATTTTCGACAGCGCTTCCATGCTGGCATCATACAAGACTACGTCTTGCAGCATGAAGTAGCAACGACATGATACAAAACATCGGCACGACTTCCCTTCTTCATCCTCTTCTTTTACCCGACTAAAGCTCTTATTTTGGCCATTGTGTTGAAAATAGACGGTTGAATAGTATTTTTAGTCTTGATCTGATGTAAAACATCGACTTCTAAAACATGACTTGTTGGGGAATCCCTGCGTGGACAACTACCAATTCAGGGGTAAAATAAGCGGGGTAGGAGTTTGATATTCGACATGGTGGGGGAATGCGATGAAAGTATTATGGTTGATTTCGATGTCTTAATTGCTCTATTATTAACAAGTATTGGAAAATCTGCCAAGATCACTTGGACGAGTAGAGGTTCAGTATTTCAGGAACCAAGTAGATAGAACTTCACTTCTGAAATCAAGCATAATTTGGTGTCGAATGCAGATCCAGTATTAAATTTATATTGTATAATTCTTATATTTACAAAATCTCGAATATCTATGAAGTAGAACCATTGGTATCCGTGTTATTATCATGCATTTCCATGATTCCTACCGAATTATCCATGGCCCAATCTACAATGGCATCGAAATTTCTACAAACATGCCAAGAATTGAGTTCTGGCCATGGAAGAGGATCGTCTTCCACCATATAAAGTGTGAAGACTCCAACGTCTGCATTGCATTGTACATTCATGCGTAAGATCTCTAGACAATGATCTGAAAACTCATTATTAGGATTTCTCATAAATGAAGGGGTAAGTAAGCGAGGAGTACCTGTGTGCATTTGAAGGCCCTTTTGCCCATCTTTGAACTCTCCACTGATGTCTTCGTACCAATCTTTATACGTGACTTGTCGGAGAAGATTTATACAATGTAATTGATGAAAAACTTCCAGGCCAACTCTGTAGCCTTCGACTCCAGTTTTTGGATCCTTGACTTTCAGATGCGTGTCAGGCATACCAATTTTGTCAAGTTGGTCTGGTAAGATCATTTGATCGCCAACTATTTGCAATTCACTTTAGTGAATTGATATTGAGGGCGGATGAGTAAACCTACCATCATATGAGATAGCACTCCATGCTTTGTCAACGTCTGGTCCGTAGCCCACATACGGTGACCCAGTTCCATCGTGTTATTGAATTTAACTTTTTGATACTCGACTGCTTTTGCAGCGGGAGCTGATCGTTTCCATTAGTCCAAAAACCTCCTATTCATCGTGAAAATTACTCACACCATGCCGAGTATTCCTTCACGTGCTTGAGAGTTGTTATCCTCGTACAATATGCCGATATGAATAAACCAAATGAAAACGAAAGCAGTACAGCATGTACCAACCACATCCATCGGTTATCGTATGTGTGTCTAGGCAATGGCATAGATTCTACATCTTGAGCCTTTTCATCATATTCTGAGTCCAACAACGTCGAATTCGAGCTGTCAGTAGATCTTCGACCGAGAGATACATCGATGAACTTTTCATTGTTGGCAACTCGATGATATTCAGCCGGCATTTTTGATCGTTTTTTCGTGGACGGAATTCGGATTTGTAATTGAATGGTCGAACAAGTGGAAATAAATAGGAAAAATTATATAGAGAATAGCTTAACCAGAAGCAAATTCAAAAACAACAAGGGAAAAAAAGACAATGGCCAGCGATGAGGAGAGGAAGGAAAAACGAAAACAAATGTACAAACCTTCAAAAACTTCAGATGACAATAGCAGATATTCACAAGGTCAATAGGTCATCGTTCTTACTGCATTGGAATATCTCCAATCGCTGGATTAATCTGCCACGATATCTAATACAACAGATGTCTCATCTGAACATGGAAACCTTTCCTCTGATGTTTGAGAATTGTGACACGAGAGAATTGAAAGTAAAGAAATGGCAGGAGTCTTGGGGTATTTTAGGCTATTGTAGCTGGGTGAAACTACAGTACAGGCCCACGTTTTATGTAAGCGAACGCTCCATCCCAGCAAATATTCATCAACGATTAGAATCAAAATCAATGTCGTTGGTATATTATCATCAACTTGATACGTTTAATATATCAGTAATCATTTGGATGTATGTGGATCGTATTTACGATTGTGTCGTTGATTTATACATCAATATATCAGAAGTTCGGTTGGCTCCACTTAGAAGTCTAAATCAGCCCTGAGAATGGTTATTGCTTTCACAGTATCTGGGAATTTATCTTTCTCGTCCGAATCTTTACAAGGCTTCTTAGTTGCATCTGATACATCTGATATTCTAGGTTCCAAAGAGAGTGTGCGCGTTAGCTAGGCTATACTTTCCTTTCATTTACTAGATGTTGATTAATGCCGCAACATATTGCGACATCCGTCTGAACTTTCTGAACTTGGTCAGCGGTTATCAATCCTCCGCATTTACTTCAGATGCGACTATCGTTTGACAATGTATGGGTACTTAGTCTTAAAATAGCTATTATTGATATATCTCAGGCGATACAACGGTGCAAGTCCACCTCATCATTTACCAATCACAATGAGTTTACTGCAACGTTGCATACGAAATCAATTGCGACTATCATTCACATTTTGTCTCGAGTACCCTAGAGGCGGGAGCAACATGTAGCAGCATACTGAATTTGGTACCAAGTCGGGATACCATCTAGAGAAATCTATGACAAAATACACCCCTATCTTCTCTGTTTGACATCGTTCTTGTATATGTATAAAGTCGCTCTAATTCTCTCAAGCCTTCTCCATTCTCACACCACTTCTCACGCCATCTTCTGAGCTTCCTTTCTTACCTCTCTTCTCTACATTCTTTCATTCGCTCACTGCTGGCCAGTACCCCTGTTAGATTTTTAACTTTATTCTTCTTTATTTCAGATACGATCCACCTCCATCATCATGCATACTCCATCCATCAATATTTTGCTCGCTGTGGGCCTTCTCTTCTCTACCCCATTCACATCAGCTCTTACTATCCCTTCGATCGACAAGAAGTCTATCGTAAGCCATATCCTTCACATACACCTAGATGTAATGAGACGATCACTAACAACTTTCATAGGCTGGTACAGGCATAGAATCCATCGAGACTCGTGACATTCCTGGTCTCATCAATCGTCATCACACCGAGGCCCAGATCGCCGCTAAAGAGGCAAAGACAAAAGGAAAAGGACAGCGCGATGTTTTGGAAAGAGAAGCACATCACACCGAAGCACAGATTGCTGCCAAGGAAGCTAAGGCCGGGAAGAAGAATGGTCGCGATGTTGAAACCAGGCACCACACCGAAGCACAAATCGCAGCAAAAAAGGCAAAAGCTTCCAAAAATCAACGTGATGTAGAAGAAAGAGAGCCTCACCACACCGAGGCTCAAATTGCTGCCAAGGAAGCCAAGGCCGGGAAGAAGAATGGACGCGATGTTGAGAGCAGACATCATACTGAAGCACAAATCGCCGCCAAAGAAGCCAAGGCCAAAGCCAAGAACCAGCGCGACGTGGAACAACGTGAAGCTCATCACACTGAGGCCCAGATCGCTGCTAAGAAGGCCAAAGCTTCTAAGAATCAACGCGACGCTACCATTGAGGAGCGCGAGCCTCACCATACCGAAGCGCAGATTGCTGCTAAGCAAGCTAAAGCTGGTAAATCCAAGGGACAATAGATTTGGCGGGATTGCTGTGTATCATTGGACTGTATCCAATGTTCGGATAGACGTTCATCTGAGAAACTGTATTTTATCTCATTATAGGTGAACATGAATGGGTGTTTCGGAAAGACGGGGTATTAGTGTCGTTATATAATCATAAAGAATCATTCAATGGGATGAATCGTGGAACCAGTTTCTATGTGACTATATTTTTAGAGATTCTCATTATTTTGTACCAGCCATAGAAGCAAGTCAAATCATGACCATTGCGAGATGCACCATATCTTCTGAAACAGTGAAAACTACATACAAATCATAAAATTTCTGACAATTCAAAAAGCTGCCATAATGCTGATAAGGAAGCCATTCATTCGTTCCTTCCCCGTTTAGGTAGAACTCCTATGACCCATGATTCCTCAAATAGTAGAAGAAGACAGACTGATATTTTCGTGTGCGAAGTAGCTATACCTGTGTTGCTCTGAGAATAGGTCTAACAAATAATAGATCGGAATTCTTAGGGTACGGTATACTAATGGCGCTGAGCAATAAGTATCACCTGGTGTTCTTTGAACAGTCAGACAATACTCAGGTAACTGGGCAACAAGATTAGATGTCTAAAATCACGTTACGTAAGAAAAATAAATTACATTGAATATCTAGTAAGTTATCTATTCTAATATCTATTTCATTCTAAACGCCCGAACGCCCCGACACCACGATTCCATATCTACCCAATCAAAGTCTTCAAATCCCCAAAAGTCGATATTTCTAGATAGAAAGCGTCTCTGATTTCAGTCTTGAGCTCTTCACGCAATCTCTGGGATATAACAAGAGACATGAGAGAATCCAGCCCGAAATCAGCGACGTTTGCATCATCAGTCAGCACTCGAATATCAACGGCCAACTCCTCAGCTATGATTTCTTTAGCTCGGATATAAGAGCCTGAAGCTTCTGTTTTCGGAGCCGGTGATTCATATTTGCTTTCTTTTTCGTGGACGCTCCGTGTCGGTGAAGGAGGAGTTAATAGGCCAGTGACGATCTTGGAGTCACCCGCGAATGGTGATTGTTGAGATGATGGCGACTTGGAATTAGTGGCACCTGAACCCAGCGAAGCGAGAGAGAGAGCAACTTGAGAGGCATCTAAAGCATGAGATGCGGCCTTGAGAGGGGGAGGACGGAAGAAGCGATCTAACATGACGCGTGGCCATTGAGTGAAGACGATGGCTTCGACAAGACCGACAATCTCGTCTCCTTGGAGAATGTAGACGTCACCGACGAAGTTGTTTTTATCCGCAGGGACCATTCGAACATATGCTAGGTATTTCCCACCGGGTGCAAGCGGCTTTGCAAACCTCATGGACTTCCATGATGGCGTGATGTAGAAGTATTTGTTGTTATCGAAATGTGTGCCTCCGTTCAGGATAAAACCTGATAAGGAGACACATCCATCGATAAAATGAGGAGGCACCGTCCAATTACCAGCGGTATCGGCAGGAAACTCCACTTCAGCAACAGCTTCATCTTTATTCAAAATTACTGACTTCATTGTTCGATACATGTCCGAGTAGCCGACCAATTTTCCAAAGAGACTGTATGCAAGATTGGTTGCCAATTTATCGGCATGACCGCGGGTAGCTAGATCGTTAAGAGCTGCAATACGACTTGTCACAAGACCTGATGAACGCGACCATGTTGATAACCAAGATGATGGATCTTCGTAAGAGATAGTTGCATGACAATACCATAGATTTTTGGCGGGATTGTACCATTTTACATGAGCCTGTCTTTTTTCTAAGTCGGCCTCGGCACTCATCACAATGGGCTGAGCTTCTGTTGGGTTGTAATGCTTAACCACAGGTTCATGATATTCAAAGTCGGTAACATTGATACCAATATTGGACGAGTTTGGAATACCTTTATCAAGGATACGTTTCGCGACTGTGAAGGCCATATCTGCATGGAGGAACTGCTGATGTTAGAAAAAGATTCTTGTAGTCAATGCACAATAATCAATAAACTTACAGAAGAAGCAACTCCGTAGTTGTTCATGGCATGTCCTTCGATAACGTCCTTGAGCGCTGGGTCAGTCATATCCGACTCAGTTACGATCTGGGCTGAGGCTTCAGTGTAGTTTTCCGAACGAATCTCGTGGATACTTGTAGTGCGGAAACCCTTGACAGCTTGAGGTATGGTCTTTATGAAGTTGGGATCTGATAATGCTTGACCCTTGGTCAAATTCCAGTCTCCACTGTATTGAATCCAATAGTTCTTGTTGTTCCATGCGTATGTTGGGGCATCGACTAATCGAAGAGCCTGCTCGAAAGGTAAGTGGTACTCTGTCCAATCGATGGCTACGCCGGCATTGTACAGAGAAGTGAGTGCCTTGCCGAGCGTGGTCCAATTGTCTTGGTCTCGGTGCATTGTTGGAGATGTCAATCGAGTATCTGATAATGTCTTTGCGATGAAGCTAACACAGCAAGGATGATGACCGATCTCTAACCAGAGGGTGGATTTAGACAGAACGCCAGATTCCCAAGCAGCATTGAGTCCGCCAACATAGTCGACTGTTTCTCGAGTTGCCTTAGCTAAGTAACTGACATCGATTCCAGATGCAAGAACTTTGGAGTAGAGAGGTGATATGACTGGGATTTTGGGTGCCTTGAACACAACAGCACTCGTCAATTTGACGAAATCATCCACTAGAACATCCATCTGACTTGTGTGGTAGGCATGGGGCACATTGAGTTTTATGGTCCTATAGCCTGCTTTTCCAAGAACGGTCGCAAGAGCCTCCAGGTTTTCCAGTGCCCCACCGAGTACTATTTCCTCGGGGCCATTGATACAAGAAACTTCGAAGGGAATGCCATCGGCTGCTTTCACAATCTTTTCGTGGGACGCTCGAACTGATAGCATACCATGTGTAGCAGGCTTACAGTGTGTCTCAAGCAGATTTGCGCGTGTTCCGACAAGAAAAACAGTATCGCTATCAGAGAAGACTCCTGCTGTATTCAATGCAGCATATTCACCCAAGCTGTGGCCTATAGTGATACTTGGAGTGACCCCATAAGAAGCCCAGAGTCGTGTCAAAGCGATCTCTACGCACACGATAGCCAGATGAAGAGACACTGTGGGTACATCCTTAACATCGCAGGTGCTCTTGATGATAGGCAAAAAGGAAGGAAACTTCTGACGCTGCGTAATACCGTCAAGTCGATTTAATTGCTCTCGGAAAGGCCTAGAGTCGCGATAAAGTTGTGCTCCAATTCCGATGTAGAATGTCCCTTGGCCAGTGAAAGCGAAGGCTACTGGAGTTTGCTTTGGATTGGTAGGTAGCTGATCTAGGGATGTATCAATATGAGGACGGAGAAGTTTAATAGCATCCTTGAGTGTAGATGCAAGTACCGAAACCCGGTAATTGTAGTGCATCTTTCGTGCAGACAAAGTGTAAGACAAATCCGCGATAGAGACATGCGGTTGCGTTTCCATGAAATCTACGAGACGTCTGAGGTTCTCTTGAAGGGAGTATGGAGTTTTTGCCGAGATTGTGATGGGGTGCGTAGGTCGAGTATCTTCGCCAATCCTTGGACGCTCCGTCGCTTCTTCCACTATCATTGCTGTGTTTCCTCCGGCTGCTCCAAAGTTATTTACCATTGCCAATCTTTTCTGACTACTGCTCTGTTCCCATGGCGTGGCAGTATATGGTATAACAATGCCTCTTAGATCCAAATCTTTGGGCAAGGCAGGATTCAGCCCAGTCTTAATACCAACATGTGGAGGGATAGTACTCTTTTGAAAAACAAGCATAGTTTTGATGAATGCCATAATACCAGCAGCAGCTTCTCCGTGGCCAACATTGGATTTTACAGATCCAATATGAAGGTCTGTGGTTCTCGGCTGCCCGTTAGCAAAGACTTTGGTAACAGAACTCATCTCGGTTGGATCCCCCGCACCAGTGCCAGTTCCGTGAAACTCGACATATCCTACAGACAATGGATCAATTCCAGAACGCTTGACCATTTGATTGAAAAGATGAATCTGTGCTAAGTCGTGGGATGTGTGATGGATACAGCCTCAGCCGAATGATCAGTACCTGCAGCTAGAACGACCGCGAGGATGTTGTCATTGTCAGCTTCAGCGTCTTCTAATCGCTTGAGAACAACGCTTCCAACGCCATCAGCACGACAGTACCCGTCTGCTCCCTCATCCCATGTTTTGCAGCCTCCAGTAGATGATAAGAAGTGGCCCTTGCTCAAGCCAGCGTAAACATCCGAGTTTGTGATGATATTCATACCACCAGTGATTGCCATATCAATATCACCACTCCAGAGAGAAGTACAGGCAGCTTGAATAGCTGCCAAACTTGATGAGCAAGCTGTATCAATACTATAACTTGGTCCCCAAAACTTCATGAAATAATTTATACGACCAGGACCAAAAGCTCTACATCCACCAGGAATGAAGTAGGTTCCGATATCCTGACCAGTGTTGACTTCACGGTAATCATCGCTAGCACATCCGTAAAATGTACCGACACGACGCTGATGAACACCTCTGCCATGAACATAGCCAGAACTTTCCAAGGCTTCATAAGCTGTAACTAGGGCCAATCGATGCATGGGATCAGTTTGCTCTGCTTCGCGCGGAGACATACCGAAGAACAAAGCATCGAATAGTCCAGGGTTGTCAATAAAGCAGCCGTAGGGTGTTTTAGATGTATTAGACTTATTTCCTGTCGGATCTACATGGCTTTCTATGTCGAACCGATCAGCTGGTACCGGTTTATGGACATCGCGACCCTGCGCCAACAAGTCCCAAAACTTTTCAGTATCATCTGCGCCACCAGGGAATCGACATGCCATACCAACGACGGCAATTTTAGCGGACTTTGCATCACGTGGTGGACTTTGTTCCAGATTTAGACTCATTACGGTTGGCATCATCGTCTGTTGAGATAGATTTGTGGAAGGAAGCTCCGTCTTCCAGCGCCCAAGGACGCTCTCCATATAATGTGAAGGCTGCAAACTCCAAAGTTGCACAACATCTGGTGAAAGCCGTTTCAAACCTGCGGATACGCCATCAATGGTCTGATCCCACTGAATGCTTTCCATAAGTATTTCAGTCATCATCTCTGTGAGCAATGATGTACCATCTGTTGCCTCGAATGGTCGACCGGTAACGGGAGAGAATATGGGAAAACATAATTGACTATCTGGGGTGATGCCCTCGACGATCTGCTTGACATGCTCTAGACCGTAAGCTTTATTGCTATGCCACATTCCCTGAACTTTCCTCATTGGAATGTTCTTCGTTCCCTTGAAGAATTCTGATTCTAAGAAAAGGGATCTGAGAGTTGACGGCGGGCCACCAATGCTCACCGATTGACCATCAGTGTTGAAAACCGCCGCCATGCTTGCTTCTGGGTATGCCTGAGTTGATTTGTTAGCGAAAAATTATCCTGAAGATCCAGGTTGTGAGCTCACCTTTTCCGAATTGAACACTGCTACTGCTTGTTGAGCTTCTTTCAGATCAGCCCCATAGGCGCAATATACCCAAGCCTGAGACATAAAGGTTAGTAAATAATTTTCAACAAAAAATAAATCTTGCGATATGGCTTACCCCTTCAGCATTGATCTCGTTAGGTGAAACCTCCAGTGAGCGACAAACTTGATCTACAACAAGACCAAATCGAAATGTGACTTTGGCAATTTCAGCAGCCATGGCTGGAAGTAGCAGCGGACTGGGAGAAAGTGCAATGGCCGCTCCAGAGAGCAAACCTGGGCCTCGTCCGATAAGCACGGCATTTTCTGCTCGAAAATCGTATTCTAAGGGGTTGGCTTCGTGATAGCTTAAGATAACAGGTCAGCATTTTCTAATTCGAACCCTTTACTTTGCAACTTAACTTACGCGATGAAAATACCCAATTGAAATACTAGAACGAGAACTCGCTCAATAGCTCCACCCAGTGAGGTTTTCCTGAGCTCAATAACACTATCTGTCAAGTCTAATACGCTTTCAAACACGGGTACCAGTTCCCTTTGTGACTTTTCCAATCGCCGGCATTCTTGCTTTAGAGCAATAGTGATGGCGTCGATGGTCGACGCAAGAATAGGGTGATTTCTCTCTTTGCTCAAGAGATGTAATTTTCTAAACAAGTTACGCTGGTCTCCTTCGGGATCCCCCTGAGGGATTTCTCCAGACAGGTAAATAATCTTCGCACGCGTCATTGTACTAAGGCTCTGTACAGGACCTTTATTATCCAAAGTATCGGCAGTGATTAGTAGAAGCGAAGTATTACTACGTAGCAGAGGGCAAATAAGTCGGTGGTCAGTGAGCACGTTGAAGTGGATCAGTGAGCACGTTGAAGTGATTAATTGATGGCGAATTGAGGCTCTATTGACTGATATAACTACCCACATATCTCTCTATATAAGTGATTGAAACTGAATTGAAGGGATTCGGAATCCGAGTCTAGATACTCACTGGTAGTTAATCCATGGCAGCCGAGTCCCGAAGCTTAGATCATATCGGGCCTCCGGCCGATAGTAAGCACCAAACCAATTTCTAAACTGTCCAGGGCCTTTTTGAAAGGGATGCAAGGTGTCTAAATTGCCATTATACCTTTTTAAGAGACATAATTCTTGGATGACACTGATGATGAATGGGATAATGCTGCAATTTCTTCGGGGAATGTTTCCGGCCGAGTTAAGAGGGGGACAATATGCAACTTGTATATAATCGCTGATTGTGCAACATCTAACGGCCCTGATTGCAGCATTCATTCCAATTGCAACGTTTAACACGACTCGTTTCCCAAAGTTTAACACAATGGCAGATATTTTAGCAGAAATTAAGAAACGTTTGACCTCCGAAGATGAAGCTTCGCGAAAGCTCTTCCAACGTGACTTATACGAAGCTATTGCCTCTACTGAGACACCAAAGGAGACCGCAATTCGTTTGTAAGCTTGAAACCCATACATAAAATCATGCAAGAAATATGAAGCTGACTGTGATGAAGATCTCTCTACGTAGGTCCAGTCTTTGCAATCAAGTACCTGCTTTCACTAACTCTGCTCTGTAGCCTTTGCAGACCGCTGCAGCTCGGATCGGTCATGACTTGAAAATTTTCCAGACATTAGACGCCGAGGGCCCGCAGACTTTGAAAGAACTGCAGGCTCGAACCGGTGCTCATCCTCTAACCCTTGGTGCGTTATATTCCCCGAACTGTCGTTCCGCTAAGAGCTCGGCTGATCTTATTGTCAGGCCGTCTGCTGAGATACATGGCCTCGGTCGGATTGATCCGTCAAATTGCGGCAAATAAGTTCGAAGCAAACAGTAAATGCCGCCACCTTGCAGCCCCAGAGGCTGTCATAATTGTAACGCATTTGTACGTATAAGTTATGAAGAAATAATGGGTAAATACGTTCTGATAAAATAAACAGCTTTGAGAACTGCGGTCCTCTTTTCCAGGAAATGCCAGCATTTTTACGAAAGAATAATTACCAAGATGTAATAGATGGTAAAGCTACAGTCTTCCAACCTGCATACAATACCGAACTCGATACCTACACATACTTTTCTCAGCATCCCGAGAATTTGAAAGCTCTTATAAAGTACATGGGTCTGGAGCAGGGTGTACGAGGTCGTTGGCTGAAGGAATATCCGTTCGAAAAGCAGACCGAAGACTGGAATCCAAGCCCTGAGGAAGCGCTCTTCGTTGACATCGGTGGTAATGTGGGGCATTACTGTGCGCTCTTCAAAAGCAGATACCCTGACATTCCAGGTCGTATCTTGCTAGAAGATTTGCCTGACACTTTGACTCGTGCTCTGCCGACGCAGGGAGTCGAGAAGCTGGGACACGACTTTTTTCAGCCACAACCAATTAAAGGTAAGAGTGAATTATGACTCCAAGTGAATATAATTGGATCTGCATACTAACATAATTGAATATTAGGTGCCAAATTCTATCATCTAGGCTGGGTCCTCCACAATTGGAGCGACGAGAAAGCAAAGATCATTTTGCGCCAAATCAAATCGGCCATGACGCCACAATCTGTGTTGCTCATAAATGACATGATTCTTCCAGAAATGGGAATTCCGCCATTTGCAACTGCGTTGGACTTAGTTATGCTTGGTGCATGTGGCAGCTTAGAGCGGACTGGGGAGCAATGGAAGGAACTGCTCGGAGAGGTCGGCCTAGAAATTAAGGCGGCCATTGTATATGATTTTGAATCCTTCCATGGCATGATCTCTGCTACCTTAGCATAGAAACAACATAACAAATACCAATTTAAAGTTTATGAGAATCAAAGTAATGACGTTTCTTAGCCTTAAAATGAAACCGAAGGGCCTACTAAGAGATTCTGGATCATTTCAAGGGACTATTTTTAAGCTGAGGACTAACCCGGTGGGAAGCCAAGCACCACCAAATACCTAGGTAGCTAGGGCGAATGACTCTGGTGCTCGACTTTGTATAGTGTTCAATATACAGTCCACGGGTACCATCTGGACCCCGATAGCTCTTGAGTTAAGTCGATAGAATCCGGATCCATCTCTAAGCCGAAGCATCCAATAGATTAAGTAGTCTACTAATCCAAACCCTTGGAAGATTCACCATGATTTGACTAACCAAGGACTTTTGGACTCAACTAAGGACGTTGGTAATGTCTTTCGGAACGAATTGGAAGAATCGCCTTGGTATAAGCAAGATCAGGCTTCAATTTTTCGTTATATTAGCAAAATGCAGTGTTACTCTCAATTTAGTAATCAGCCGGTGGATGCAAAACGGCCAAAAGAACGTTTTGAATCCTTTGAATGTTTTCATGTATTTAAACATCCTAGACGACTGAGTTCTCTGTATTGGATTCAAGGACCAAAAGCTTCTCATTGTTTTCTTTTACGGAGTAGACCGGATCGACAGATTATTGAAAATGCCATTATCGAATGACATTAAAGCTGACATCACGTGAACACTCAGAAACGACACCCAGATTACCGAAAAGTTGCAAAGCTCCTCGAGCCGTATTTTTCTATAACACCAGCGACACTTAAGTGGTCCCGATCAATATCTAGCTTCTAGAATTATCTGAGTTTCGGGGCATTCGCTGAAGATGTTCCGCCGCACCGCGCGATTCCGTGAGTGTTTCCGTATGACAAGTGTCAAGAATTCCTCGGAGCTCGGGGGCCGAATTATGAAAAGGTCAACTTCATGTCTTCATTAGAATATATAATAGATGAGGTAATATGGATCAATGGAGATTTCCCAAATATACTGTGAAACTGCTGGTATATACGACTCTCCAATTCATAACCACTTAAAGAATGACGTCCCCTCACGTGCTTATAATTGGTGCTGGTATGAGCGGCCTCACGCTCGCGCAACAATTGAAGAAAAATAAGATCTCCTTCACCGTTTTTGAGCGAGATGTGAGGAATGACTCTCGTGGTCAAGGCTGGGCGCTATCCTTATTTGGAGAAGCTTATGACTTGATGAAGACTTTGATGCCATCGGAATTAGGACCGGTGGAGCAGACAAGCCATCTTCATCCTCTCGATCTCCAACCACAGTTCTCTTTCTATGATATTACTCGTCCAGAGTTCCGGGTCGGTGTCATCGCGGATGACACTCTTAAGGTTGTCCGAGCAAATCGACGAAGAATGCGCGAATGGCTGATGCAAGGTATCGACGTACGGTTCAATAAGCGCTTACTTCGCGTGGAGGAACACGGCGATAAAGTAACAGCACACTTTGAGGACGGCACTTCGGCAACAGGTGATTTTTTGGTCGGTGCTGAGGGTACACGTAGTGTGGTGCGCAGGCAGCACTTCCTCAAAGGCCAAGATGTGATGAAACCACTACCGATCGGCTCAATCTTCGGCGAGATCTCACTCAGCGGCGACGACTTCTCGGAACAGCTCACTAACTCACATTCGAACTATATCGTCATGGACCCTAGACTCAGTGGTGATGAGCAGACAGCTATATTTTGCGCCCTCAACCGAGTAAGTCCTGATGGCAAAACTGGCTATTATTACTATATTCTTCTTTGGGTAGACAAGGACACTCCTAAAGTAGGCGAGAAGAAATGGACAGAGTCGGCATCACAGGAACAATTGGCAGCATTTGCGCGCGAGAGAACCAATCATTACCCATACAAGCTGCGCTCTCTGGTCGATAAAATTCCCACTGAAGGATACAATACTCCTGGCTTCCAGCTTCAAAGTGTGGAGTTAGAACCTGAACAACTACCACCTGGAAGGGTGTTGTTAATTGGTGATGCAGCACATTCGATGGCCCCATGTAAGTCTCACAATCTCCGTGTTTTCTTTTTCGTTTAGCATTGGATGCGTTGTTCTATAAACTGACTTTAAGGGTCAAAGTCCGTGCTCTAGCCGCAAACACAGCTTTTGTTGATGCATTCAGGCTCAGCGATGTCCTCACGCGCGCGCGGGATACGCAAGCGTCAGGCGAAGCGCTGAATGATCTTATTTCGGAATTCAACGAAGATATGATTTCACGCGGCAAGTTCGCATCTAGCGTGTCCAACACAGTACTTGAGGCCTATGGCGAAGAGGCTAAATTCATTACATTCGGTAGAGAAGCCGGATTGATGCCTTCGAAGACTGTGAAACTGGAAGATGTAAAGATTTTAAGTTAGAATAAGCTTGAAAATGTTAGACATTAAATTAGTGTAGCGCATTTTTAGATAAATATAACGACATACCTCCTCTTTAAATTAAACAGCTTTTCTTAAAATATAGGAGCTCGTCCAACTATAGGTTGAATTTGATGTTGTGGACATTCTGAAATACACGAGTTTATACCGCTTTAGACATCCAGTCTATTGTAGCGGCGATTCTTAATTAGAGTTGAATAAATTATCAATCACTAAGAATATTTTGTTCCCACAACCCGCGCGCGTTAGGTCAGCCTTCGGCAAAATGAACTCAAATGACAAAAAATAGATTCTACATTCGCAAATCATCCTCCCGCGGAGCTCGGATCTTCGGCTTTTTCATACAAATTAATCAGAATTCACAGTACCCTAGGGACTGTCTTAGTTTCCTGGCAAACAAGATGATATTGACGCGCGCGCACCTCCATTCGTGAAATGGCCTAGAATCCTATTCAGCGCGCGCTCTCCCTTCCTAGCGGGGTTTGCAATGGTAAACCGACTCATCTTCATTCATTGTTCTTATAACTCAATAATCTCAATTAGCTTATTTTGTTGACATTCATTCAGATTTGCTATTTGAATAAAAATCGAAAATGGCAACAGTCAACGACGAGACAAGTACGAAGCATGACGGCCTATCAAATCGCGAGCCATCTGGAACACTTACGCCGTCTACGGGAACCTCTCATTCTCAAAAGCTGGCAGAGGCTGATTCTGAAAAGGCGCTAGTTGAAAATGAAAATGAGCAAATGGTATGTCCACAAGAGTAGAGGTGCAGATACAAGCAGCTGATTTATATATCATCATCAAGATTGTGACCTGGGATGGTGTAGACGACCCCAAAAACCCCAAGAATTGGTCTTTCAAGCGTAAATGGGGCATCACTGTTGTAGTCTCGCTTATTGCATTCATGACGGGAATATCGTCTGCTATCATCGCGCCCGCTAGCAATGTCATCGCCGAAAAGTTTGACATCCACACTTCTTTTCGAAAGCAGCTCAACTTCTCGATCATTCAACTTGCTTACGTTATCGGACCCCTGGTATTAGCTCCGCTTTCTGAAGTATATGGGCGTTCGTTTATTCTTCAAGCCTCCAATGTTTTCTTCTTAATCTTCAATTTTGCGAATGGCTTCGCAGATACTGAAGGCCAGTTCCTGGCCTTCCGTTTTCTTAGTGGTCTTGGCGCTTGTGCTCCGTTAACAATTGGTGGTGGTGTCCTGTCTGATCTATGGCGCCCAGAAGAAATCGGTATGGCCATTGGACTATACACTCTAGCTCCTTTGCTTGCTCCTGCCCTCGGACCCCTACTCGGAGCTTGGATTGTCGAAAGGTCTACATGGAAATGGTGCTTCTTTTCCATCACCATTTTCGGAGTGATTGTGCAAACCCTCGTTTTCTTTACACTAAAAGAAACGTACGGCCCACGAATTTTGCAAAGAAAAGCCGAGAAGTTGCGCAAAGAAACCGGGAATGATCAGCTGCGGACGGCATTTGAGCTTAAAGACTTGCGTCTCATCTCTATCATGCGAACTTCGCTCGTTCGTGTCGTTATATTGCTTACCACTCAGCCCGTCGTCATTTTCCTCTCTGTATATTTTGCGATGGTCTATGGTATCATCTACCTTATGCTGGTGAGTACTCATCAAATGTTTATCTTCGATACTAGGTCAGAAACTGATTTACAATTTTATTATTTTTAGTCTAGCTTCCCGTCGTTGTGGACAACTTACTATCACGAATCCGTTGGCATCGGTGGTCTCAACTATATTGCTATCATGATCGGCTTGACTATCGGTGCACAAGGAGGTGGTCGTATCGTAGACTATGTATACAAGACCCTGAAAGCTCGGTCGCCTGATAATACTGGAAGACCCGAATTTCGCGTGCCTCTTCTTTTCTTCTCCACCTTCTTGGTGGCAGCGGGACTCTTCATGTATGGGTGGTCCGCTGAAACAAGGACTTTCTGGCTTTCGGCAGATATTGGTGCTGCTATCTTCTCTGTAGGAGCAGCTATGACGTTCGCTTCAATCCAAACATATATTATCGATTCCTATCCGCTATTCGCTGCATCTGCTATAGGTGCGACCGCGGTGCTGAGAAGTTTGACTGGGTTTGGGTTCCCGCTTTTTGCTCCTGCTATGTATAACAAACTTGGTTATGGCTGGGGTAATAGCGTACTCGGATTCGCGGTTCTAGCCGTTGGCTATGCTGGAGCTCTGATCCTCTGGTTTTTTGGGCACAAGCTGAGGGAGGCAAGTCCATATGCGAGAGGAGGTGGGTGAAGGATCCAAAATGATCAATTTGCACCCAGCTGTACGGAGAAGAAGGGAAGATGACATGTGTACATCATTCGAAAGGCGAGATAGGAATCGGTTTACTACTTCTAGTTGATACTTTCGATTTTATATATACGCCAATCTGAAATTAGATTAGAGGATATTATAGAAAGAGTCCCATGATTGGTGGAGGCAATTCTCACCATTAGAAATCAAGCATGTATAGCCTTTATACGAAGTCAACCGATCTTGGGTTTGCTTTAAGTACCAGCTTATGGACGTATATGTGAAACCATGAAATGCATCTGTACGCCACTTGGGCCGAAAGCATTGGGAGATGATGACCCAAATAATAGCTTCTAAACCTCACACCAAGGTCATTGACATAAGTATCATGTAAAACCCTCAATTCTGCTTCAAAACCCAAAGTAGATCGTAGTGCCATCACAGCAAATGCAAGTGAACCAAATGACAAGTTTCCTTCAGTCGTGCCAATAGGGGATATATCGAGTGTAAAAACTGGTAATTGCGCATTGATATATAACATGATATCAGCTATCTACCAATGGGGCGCAGTGTGTGTAATGAGTTGCTATACCCTAATTTCGTCGAATCGAGCAACATTTGTAACATTCGAACTAATAAGATGCCATCAATTTATGGATTGCGATTGTTAGATACCTGAGGCATCACAGTTCGCGGCGCCTAGGTGAGACGGATTACCTAACATAAGCTGACCTTTGGACTACTTCACAATAGTATCAATTGTCAATTATTTTTGCATGTATACTCCTAAGTACTCCCTTCTCGATTTCATGTACGTCATTATTATTTTCTGATTTCGATCAATATGAACAGAAGTTCTAACGGCTGCTGGACTTGTCGACTACGGCGCAAAAAGTGCGATGAGCATCGTCCTATTTGCAATGAGTGCATGACGCTCCACATCTCTACCTGCAATTACGGCGCCAAGCCGGCATGGATGGACGGCGGTATAAAGCAGGAAGTCATGACCAAGAAGATCAAAAACGAGGTCAAGCAGCATGCTCCTTATCGCCGCCGTGGTAAACGGGAGTCGACTACCTCTAATCTCAACGTTTCTATTCCAGGACTTGCAGATCGGAAGATCGCTAGTTTCAATATCCCTCTTCCAGAATCTGAAGTTCAAAGTGAAGTCAGTTCGTATACACATGATACTAGCGCGACTTCTCCAGATATCTCGACTGTCGCTTCTCCTGTTAACACCCAAAAGATCTGTAAGCAAGTACTACAGATAAGACCATTCGCACAGTCGGACTCAGTGCTACTTGTTTTTTACCTCGAACGCATCCTTCCGTTTCTATTTCCTTTCTATCGGCCTGCGCCACTTCATGGCGGCCGAGCATGGATTTTGGATTTGGCTATCAGCAGCCCTGTCGTCCGTCAAGCTATCCTTTGCCAGAGCTCATATTTCTTTGCATTGGCACACGGAACTTCTACCATCAAAGACGATCGTATGTGGGAAGCTTTACTCGAGCAAACGAGAGATGCTTTTACCATGTTACGCAATTCTATAACAATCATCGAGAGCTACAACGAAAATGAGCACATACTTGGTAGCGTTCGCGCTATGGCTGCTGTCATGCAGCTACAACGTTTTGAAATTGCCATCACTTCATTTGACAATTGTCAAGCGCATCTCAATGCTGCCTTAACAATTTTCAGGAAAGTCGTTGATGTCGTTGGAGCTGACAACCTAGCTAGCTCTTCCAACACATTTCAAAGTATTCTCAGTCTTCTGGGTCCACCTACATGGATTCTGCCGGCCCAACAAGCTGAGATATCCAGCTCTGAGCAAGCTGCTTTTCGCTTCTCAACAGCTCTGTTGATTTTCGATGACATCATCGCCAGTACCGCTTTCCAGGAGCGTCCGAAGTTGTACGACTATCACCAAAGCCTCCTTTGTAAAAGTGATGGGGTCGATGCTGTCCCTCCTATCAACCTTGAAACTACTGTGGGGTGTCAGAATTGGGTGCTCAAACAAATTGGCGAGATCGCAGTTTTGGATGCATGGAAAAAACACTGCAAAGCAGCTGGCAATCTGGATGTTATTGAGCTAGTACAGCGCGCAGCAGCAATCAAGAAAACGCTAAAGGCTCATGTATCGCGTTTTGAATCCGATCTGGTATCTGTACCCCAGGAGAGCAACTTACTGGACGACATGTTTGCAGCGGAAGACTACACTGGACAAGCTCGGACAATCGCTCGGCAAACCTCATTAGTAACACGGATTTGGGCACATAGTACCTTCCTTTACCTGTCTGTTGTCGTATCCGGGTGGCAACCTGCCAACCCTGATGTGAGGTATCATGTAGCTCAAGTTCTCGAGCTGTTGACGCATCATGTATCACCTCCAGCATTATTGCGGACAATGGCCTGGCCATTTTGCGTCGTAGGATGCTTGACGGAATCTGCGCAAAAAGCCCGGATACGCGACATGGTAGATTCTCTACGACCGGCCAGCCGCTTCAGCACTGTACGCCGCGGGTTCGATATTATAGAAAAGGTGTGGAACGATAGGGCCATGGGCAATGCTGGCGAATTCGCTACATATTTTCGAAGTGACACCACTCTTGTGCTACTCGTTTGAAGGCGTAAGAATCACATTGATTTTTGACTTTCGGTTTCAAGCTTTCCAAGGTGTATTCAAACAATAGTATGGATATTAAGAAGTGTTCTTATCAATTCCGAGGCTCCTTTCCGCAAACCTTACAAATCTCCATAATGTAATTGATCTTGGCCCTGCCTGTTTCCAATACTTGCTTAGTCAATTCAGCAGCCTTTATATTCATCCATTCTCTACTTTATTATTTTCGTTACTTGGATTCAAATGTCAATGGATATGGATCTATCTAGCCGATAGTATTCATCTTATTACAGAATTTAGTTAACAGAGAACGTCTTCAATGGGATCGACACCGGATGGAAGAAAAGGAACTAGCTCTGCTTTGAGAACTTGTATTGAAAAGATAAAATATTTTAATTTTTTATTTGGCCATTTTACATGCGAGAGCTAAGAAGCCAATTAATATCTAAAATTTGGTATAACCTTGGTCCTTTACAAAGGTAGCATGCCATGGAACGTTCTCCGCGCCGCTCGCCGCCAGTTGCGAATAGAAATCGGCATGCGCGGGCCCATTGACCGCCTGGCCTGCAATCTTTCCGTCGGCTTGGCGCTGGTCTGCGTAAATGAATCTGGGAAAGGACGTGTCAGATGACAATATACTGCAAATCTCTGTTTCTCTCTGTGTTGAACATGATTTGGAAAAGAAAGGATGGACAAGAACTCACCGGTAACCCTTGGCTGTATATGCTCCATCAGCAACACCAAGCCAGTAGGCAGTGGCTGCCTTTCCCATACCACCGTTCAACAACAGTGGCACTGGTAATACAGCGACATTACAGATGTTACCTGTGTAGATGAATACTTTCTTGCTCTCTGCGGGTAGAGTTTCCCAGCCTTTGATAGCCTCTTGTGCGGCAATAAACGGAGTGACAACATTGACGTTCAAATCGTTGGTAACACGAGCCTGCGGAACAATAAAGTTAGCGTTTTTCTGAATAAGAAAGGTTTCTGGGGGGAAATGGGGGTAAAATGCTCGCTTTCGAAGCACATTGAGATATTGAGGGACTTTATGAGCTGAAACCAAAGTGGTTGGGAACTGGTTTGATGGCGACTTACGCTTGGGATAGACAAGGCTGATTCTGCATCGGGTGGAGGAGTGATGGAACCGGCGTTGTATATGACTACGCTAGGAGCCGCTGAGAATTCACTTTTGACTTTGTCGAAGATTAGAGCCAAGATGCTGGGGTCGGTGTTGGCAAAATCGGCCGAGAGAGAAAGATAGCCCTTTTCATTGACTGAGTTTGTACCTTTTCTCGAGACAATGGCGACTTTGTATCCTTCTGCCGCGAACTTTTCAGAGACAGCTTCGCCGATACGTGGACCTGAGCCGAGAATGAGAACGGTTTTGGTAGGCATTTTTGTTGAAGTTGTCGAGAAGCTTCGTGTATTGAAACGCAATCTTGCACAGAATAATCTCATGAAATCAAGTTGTATGTATAGGTTAGGAGAAGTGCTGTATGATATTCTCATAGAGACCAAACCCCTCCTTCCTTATATCAGCGATCAGTTCTATAAGCCGCGCGGGGGTGAGACCCAAAATCCGCGCGCCGCATTCGCAATATTCCTGGATATCTTATCTTACATTCCTATTTCGAGCCCTTGCTCTTGGTTGGCTACGACGGCGGAGTGGACCCTGCAGCATAAACCCAGTGTGCATCATGCACGGATGCCGTGATTTAGGATTAACGGCGCGCGGCTTACTTAAGCCGCGCGGGTGTGGGTCACCTGTCTTGGAAGTCAACATCAACAATTTAAGTCCATGCTTTTCTGGCGATACCACATCATCTTTGATTCTCCCACTTCTCACACGAATGCCCCAATAAGAATTCTATCCGCGGGTCAAGGGTAAAGCTCGCGAGACCACCCTGTCGACAAGAAATGCTTGATCTTCTAAGCAGGATCAACATCACGACATCCTGTTTCGGGATACGGCGTCCACCTGCTTTCGGGTCAATAGTAAGGATCTAGATATTTCTCCCTCGAATCGTCTTACATGCAAGGTCAATCACAAACAGTCCCCTTGCTTTGTGGGCGTCGTATTATTGACATAGTATCATCTCGCGGCCAAGGATGATTGTCTAGTGCACATGCAATCAGAGGAGTCAACAATGCCTTTCTCACAGCTATTGATTACGAGGTACCTTTGATGTTCTTGCAGCCGAACTAACTGGTTATTATTGACGAGTGGGATGAAGACTGCAAAGACATTCAACTGGTGGAGCTAGGAATAAACGCAGGTCTATATCGACCTGGAGGAATCAGAGGTAGAAACTTGCATTGCCGTAAATTCTCCGTAGAGGTTTTGATATTCGTTTCATTGATTCTGCTTACAATATCATTGGAAGACGATTGCGAGGTTTTGTCATTGGTGCCATTCTTGCCCTCGGCTTTCGAATTCCGTCTCATATCCTGGAATTTGCTCTTGATCAAGCGACCCGCGAGAGGAGGGTATTTACTTGCTCACGCGCGGGCCTTAATGTACTTGACTGTCAAAGGCCTTACTGTTATCGTAGCACGACTACTCTTCCTCGACCGCGCCTTTTTTTCGTGAGCTTCATACCTACTTATCGATGGCATTACGTCATCTTGGTTTATGCTGGCTCCGGTAACGTGCTAATGGTGAAAATTCGCGTCGAGTATACGATACAACGTTCATGATTTTTTTGATTGGAATATCAGACTGGGCGAGAGCTCTTTAAGTAAATAGACTAGCCTAAATTGTGGAAATAGCTACCGCTGGGCCATTGAATTTGAATCAAGACTGTTCCGGCCCTTGAGAATCGCTCCATTGATTCACCAACAAGTTGGTCAATAGTCCAGACCAGCAGGTCGGTCATGAGTTCTCAATGTTTGAGATAGTACAGCATCCGAAGCGAATCGGTTGTTCCAAATCATTTGGATAATCTATCGATTGGAAGCTTCTGGTTGTCGCACTGCAGTCTGAACCATTGTAAATCCTAGTCATCACCAAAACTACCATTAATTATATTTATATACCACAATTGCTTCGCCAAGTTGAGAGCTTTAACAAAAAAGCAGTCATCAATGTATTCTCTGCCTCAATTCTGCCTCAACGAAATTTCAATGATTGAGTCTGTGCTTCCATTGGGCGTCTGCAACATCACGAAGTCAGTACTGTCTATTATTTATGTCTTTACATGCGATTATGTAATGTACTTGTGAAGAAATACTCACGAGAATGCGTGTCAACTCAAGATTGGAATCTGCCTCGGTGATGATCTCCCTCCACTCAGATTCGCTTCGCTCCTGTGCATTTAGCATTTGAACCATATTAAGGTCCCTAATTCTAGTGAAACATCAGCAAAGAATGGTTGACTTCGAAGTGGAGAACAAACCGCAGGTATCGTTCAGCAATACTCGACATTGGTCTGTTCGATGGCGAAACGACAATTTCGACCAGCAAAATCTTGCTTCCAGGCTTCATGGCCGGTACAATTTGACGAATAATTTTGACACTATTCTCATGAGACCAATCGTGACAGATATGTCGCAAAACATAGACTTCTGCGCCCGTTACCGGCTGGGGATCAAAGAAGTTATGCGGCACAAACTTGACTCGATTGGTCAATTCGTATAACAGCTGGGCAGCTCCTTGCTCAACATTCTTCTTGTAGTCTTCTACCACAAAATTTAGCTTCGGGTAATTTCTTGCAAGTTCTACACTCAAGAACCCGGATGAGCCACCAACCTATACGAATTCGAGTTAGCTTTTCGGGACGGAAACATAGAAGCAAGTCAAACTTACATCAACAACAGTAGCCTCTCCAAGCTCTGTCCACGGATACCCCGTTATAACGTGCTTTTGACTTTGGCTAGGATCCTTATTCACACCCTCCATCGCACCGACGAATCGAGCCATCAACTCTGGGCTTTGCTCGAGGTATTTGAATAAGCCATCTTTCGTGTTAAAGGCAAGACCAAATGCGGTATCTTGTGCAGCAGTGCTGTCTTTATATTTCTCCAGCGCTTCGGCTAGTTTCGCACTGGCAGGAAACATCTGCTCAACGAAAAAGCCGTAGTAATTCATCATGTTATGATTGCGCAATAGCAGGGCTGACGAGGCAGTATGAACGACATGGTCCGGAACATCCTCTCGCAGCATCCGATTTAGCATTGCTTTACGCACAACTGTTTTGACTTTTCTCTCGGCCAGACCAACCTTTGCAGATATTTCCGCATAAGTGGCTCCACCATCTAGTGGAATTGCAGGGAGAATGTTGAAGTGATAGATAACCTGCTGAGCAGCATTATCAAGAGCCTAGACACATATCTTAGCATGCTATGCTTCACATCATTCTCAATTTTACTTACAGCACCCCAAACCCGAGCCAGAACCTCTCGTGGACCAAGAAACAAGTCATGAAGCGCACTCGTGTCATCTATAACCGCCATCCGTGCTGCTTCAATCTCAGGCTCACCATCAGTGTCCGGAAATTCATCCTCCGCATTCTGATCGAAAGACACTTTGGCATTCTTGCCAGCCAGCCATTTTTCGACAATAGCTGAGTTGCTAGCAATTCTTTCACTGAGCTCTTTGATAGAAGACATTTTGGAAATTCACGTGGTGTTTCTTGTGGAATTGGCTTCTGGAGCATGTGCTCTCTATGAAGCTATATGTATTCTTCAATACATTGGAGAGTCAACGCGAGTCTGACATTCTTGTTTGAATCGGGGCTCGGCCGTCCACTTTTCGGCCAATTCCCTGCTTCGGCCGCCCGGGCTGCACAGATATTTTCAAAGCCACTGATTTTGGCGGTTATAGAGCTTCTATGCAAAAACTTCGGCTGCCACAAAGCTCACATCTAAGTGAAGCGTATCTATCAGAACCCAGGAATTCATGAGCCGAATTCTGAGTCTGTCAAGGTGCAATGCTAGATGTTCAAAGTACCTAGAATGGAAAGTAGGGGGCTAGGCTAATATCAGTTCTAGGTAGCGAAACTAATCTAGTGGCTGAAGCTTCGCTCTATGTTTGACAGTGACATATTTATATTAATTTGTATTATATTGCTAAACTACATTGGTCGAAGAAAACTTCTTGCCTTGAGAATTAAAGGTCATATGAATCGACCCATCCTTCTCTGTTGAAATGCCTTGCTCTTCATGAGTCCGCAGACGCTTCCTAGGGAGTTCAGGTGCCAGTTCAGGCCATGTCATAACTTGTTCCGGGCTACCACTAGCACCGTTTTGTCTCAGCTGGTTGAGTAGATCTGATATACCAGCATCTGAAGCATCTGCTGAATTTGCCGAGCCAAAGGGTGTATATGGTCCTAAGGAAGATGGGAAAGATGAGCCGATATCCCAAGAGAAAGGCGTGCTCGCAGCAGGTTGTGGTGAGAAAGAGAAAATCGATCCGTCTCCTATTGAGCCTGGTGGGGAGATCTTGAAGAAATCTTCAGTTTGGGTGTTGAGAGACATTATAATATCAGACATAGATGCTGTTGAAGCCATGGAGATCGGTTGTTGCTGTTCGTGATGTTTTATCAGATCAATTATTATAAGCAGCTGCTCGAATATCCACGCGACTTTGCGATGATAGCTGTTGGGTTGCATCCGCTCTGTGCTACTCATATAGCAGGCAGACACTCTGCGCAATAAATCGAGATCGGAATTAGACCCGTGGTCATTATCAGTGGACCGCAGGAGGTCTTTGAGTAGTATGAAAAATGCTGGCAGTGAGAAGGTATCGAGTATACTGGCAAAAGAGACCGTATTCGCTTCAATAGTGGATAGCTTCTCGTCCCGATTATGATTGGCGGTCTTCTGAAAAGCTAGAGCGTTGAAAGCATCAACAATCTGAAGGTCTTGAACGCCGTTTGCTATCAGCAGTAAGAGGCAACTGGCTCTTGCATCGGAACGTAATTGCTCGGCATATTTTTGCCCAGAACCGTGCTGTAAAGCAAGTATACGGGTAGCCAAGAACTCCAAAGTCAACATGGAATGGTGGGGGTCATAAGAGGAAGCTTTGCAATTAAAAATGCCAAAACTTTGTGTATATTGGTCCAGTTGGCGCTCGATGGATCGCAACAATTTGGAAGCTTGTGATTTTTTTGATTTGATTGTCCGAAATGGGGCAGTGTGCGTCAAGCGATAAACATCATCTTGGATCATTGCTAGTTGCAGTGTGTCTGAATAGGGCACTTGGCGCGCTATTGCGGCGTCTAGTTGGGGAGCAATATTGCAATCGTGGGTCGGTAGCCAGGAAACAGATCCTCGAGTAGTGCACAAGCTTTTGTCTCGGACGTATAGCGACTGTATGACTTTTGCTCGCTCCAATGTATCATATGTATTGGTTTCATCGGGAAAGATTTGTGTTTGGTGAAGTCCCATAGTTCTTGCAAGCCCGCAAGCGTTGGTGAAAATAAGCTCAGCCCACCCTGGTGGGTCAAATTGTTGTGCTGCGATGCTCTAGACAAATGGTTAGCTCGCTAGTGTGATAACTAACAAAATTCAATTAAAACTGTACATACTAAAAGTATCAAAGTCTGTACGTTGATGAGTCTAGGCGTCGTTAGTAATCGAGAGTTGACCAGCGCAGCTCGACTCGGGAGAAATGAACGTGCGAAGTCGCCAAATAGACCGTTGCCTGATTGGGCAGAAATTTCCATACCCCAAACAAGCACTGTAATGGCCTGAAAACAGATGGCCCATACATCATCCCCAGGCTCAGGATTATGCGAGTATATACGTTCGACCTGGGCAAGGAGATTGCTCTTCACAAAAATATCGGTTGCACAGTCAAGATGCTGAAAAAAATGACCAACGATAGTGGTGAACTGTTGCTTTGGTAGGAGGTTGATGACCGGCTGGCTTCCAAAAGGTGGAAATGGTTCAACCACACCGGCCCTTTCGCACAAGTTTTGCAGCATGTCTTGTAAAGGAGTATTGCATTCAGCATCGTTTGCAGAAACGGCGCAAGATCGGAATTGCTTGCAGAGAACAAATAGCGACAGCGGCCCGTGATAATAATCGATTATATCCGCCTGGTTATAAAAGACGTGAAAGTCGGCGTAATCGTCGCTGAATGAGGAAGAGCTCGCCAGACAATCTTCTTCATCTTCCTCGTCAAAGCTTCCACCCCTGGACGCTTGTCGGGTCGATGAGTTAGAGTGAGAGTTATCCTGATCTGTATTCTGCGCGATGTTGTTAGATAGGCGGTCGAGATGAGATTCTATATTGATCAGGCGCTCTTTGACTCCATTCACGCTGTCAAATCTAGACACTAATTAGACATATTTCTATCTTATTGAAAGCAATAAAGTAACTCACAGCGACTTCAGGTGATTCACTCTCTTGGTGGGGTTTTGGTAAATGCATGTCACGCTATCGTCTTGTTCGCAATTATTGCATTGTGGGAGCTCACGGCTACAACGAATTTTGCGCTCACGACAGCGAGTGCATGCCTGATCTGAAATGGAGTCTTCAAAGTGACTTTGTTTCTATTCAATTAGTTAGCGGCAATGCGGTATAGTGAAGAACATGAATGTCTTCATATGTACCCTTTTCTGATGGCTCGACATTTTGTGATATTTGATGACTATCTTGATCTGATTCAATTGGCTTTGGTAGAGTCTTTTCAAATAGATATAAAGATATGATATAATGGCTATAGCTCTCTTGTAGTCAAAAGAAAACATCTAGCGCTATTCCCATGTAAGCTTAAATTACAAATGCCATTGGTCAAGGGTTTTAACTTCACTTCGTGTCAGCACTGCCAGCGGCAGCTAGCTCTCCCTAAGCATATTGCTCATAGGTTCTCTAGCTTCGTAATGCAGCCATATATCGACCTATCACAAGGATTCACGCGAGAATAACGCTTCCCCTGCTTTAACATTCTAGAAGTCGAATTAGCCTTGAAACTCGCACATTGCATTTAGCTCAGATAGCGATAAATAACGGGGCTTTAAACGACACCACCCGTAACACAAGCCGACGCTATAACTTTCTGCAAACATCATTGCGTCTTACGTGAAAATTGACCACAAATATAAGCACACGTCAGCTGCAAATCAAACCACTCTCGAACCACTAGTAGTCGTATGGTTGTAAATCACCTCGAGTTATCAATCTATAACGCGCGATATGTAATCTTCATGTTCCAATCGTTCATCGACGACATGCCAAATTGAGTTTCTCCGCGTCTCCTTATCTTGGCTGCGTGATTGTCCGTAATCAAGCCTTTTCAAGGGTCGCTGCAGTGATACGGCCAAGAGGATCGGAATCCATGGATTGCAGCTTGAGCTAGTAGAGTTGCCTGAGGCAATCACTGGCGCTTGTTCAACCGTCGTATCCCACTTTCCGTAAAGTATACGTACGACTATGATTAGCCGATTGTGTGACAGATAGACGGAATAATTTTCCAGGGGCAGGAGGAAAGAGGTTCTAGAGTTTTCCATATTCGCATGGTTCGTTTTCGCACCGGTGAGATTGAGTTTAGGTATCGGTATCAAAAGTGCTATTAGCGACGCTATCGTCACGTACCAACTAAGCCAGGCCTTAGCGAATCCTTGAAAAAGTTTATTTCTATTCTATGTCTGTATTTTTGTCTAATCAACCCCTCATTCGCCCTCATCAAACCAACCATAACAGTATATTTCATCCGACAGATTACAACAACCCTTCTTCCAAAACTGCCGACGGCGGTGCTTATGAGAATAGCACTGCAAAAATGGTGCAGGTGGCGTTTAGAGGTCTATTCACGAATTAACGTTATCGCTAAGGAGAAGGATTCCCTTAGTATCAACCGAGAAAAACCACTCATTTGGCTTGGCCCGCCATTGGCTATTAATCGGAAGGAGCATTTGCGTCAGATCAAAAGACAAGAGATTGAAGAAAATTAAGCTTCTGTGGTTCCCACAGTACCCCTCGGCATCATGTGGATTAATGGACAAGCGGGAGGGATGAACGTGAATGTCTCAAAGTGACTGTCATCTTTGTCGCACCCTGGATATTTGACTCTGCTCTGCAATTTGGGCTGTTTTTCTAGATCAGTGGGAGTTTCATTTTGTCGCATTGTTACCTATTTTATTTCTACGTGAAATGCTTTCGTTACCTATTCTCATGTCCTGCCCACAAAGCAAATTAAATTTTATCGCTTTCGCTCCCCCATTATTCTTAATATTTCTCCAAGTCCCAGGCTACCCCCACTGCCCCGCTATTTCTTTGAAGTGGGGATAGCAAGTGGAAGTTGCGGAACTTGACTTGGCAATGGCGACTGTTCAAACAAGGGGATGATGAGGGGAGGAAGGTGACGGTCAACAATCTGCAGCACCGCATATGGTGGGTTACAGGGACATTTAAGTCGAATCGGCCCAGCATGCTGGCCGTGGATCCAACCCAGCCTTGTGTTTGGGTAGGATTGAAAGGAGGGAAGTGGTGTGGGGCCAACGATATCTGCATAAGCTCCATATGCATGCACAGACGTTATTTACACGTGATAGGCCTCCACTTCTTGGACAGTAACCCTGGTTGAGGGTCTTGACACTAGCTTCTGCTACTTTGTCTCTCTGCACTAGTCAGAAGACCACAATAGGAAATTGTATAAAGAAAAGTCCTAATAGAAATTCCTGATATGGAATAGGTATTAGTTCCCAGCTGTGCTAAAGTTGAAACACGACTTAAGAGGGCTAAGAACTAGATGGGATACCGGCTCGGTCTGCAAGCCGTTGTGCCTTACGAAACCTAGGTTCTGATGTTCCCTCTATCTCCAAGGAAAGACTGCCTTGCGGACAGCTTTCGACCCATGGACTGCATACACCTTCATCGGCAACATGGAGCAAAAGAGGATCCTCCCATTTATGACCGAAATAGGGTCGGAGGATGACTTGAAGAGGGACGAATAAGAATGTAGGAAATAAGAGAAGTGAATAGGCTAAAAGTACTATATTCAGCTGAAATTAAAGGAGCAGTGTCAAGTCAAAGTCCCAGCGGTGGGTCGCCAGAAACAGCTTTGGTATAAAAAAGTGGATCTACGCTGGCCTACTAGGCTAAAGTATGGCGAACTAAGCCTTAACACACTGGATAATCTTAGTATCGCTGGCCTACTTTTAGTACCAGCTGGGGATGAAAAAGGCTTGTTGGTATGATTTCCAATCAGCAATTATTGGTAATCATTTAAGCCCCAGTTTGCAGAAATACTAATGTAATGCGGGGTGCCGAAGAACAATTTTGATATGGTAGAATCGAAAATTAGTGGATTTTGTTTTTGGTATACAGGAACTTTTGATTAGGAAAAGCTTCTGGTGTAGCGAGTGCGATAAACTTGGTAATTCAATGAATACGTAGATATTCTCCGAAGGTATACGTGAAATTCAAACCAATGTTTAGTTTTGAAGCAATTGCTAGCAAGATCTAGATATTTCGACAATACACTGTAGGGCCAGAATACAGTGCTAAATAGTCTAGAATTGAATTTGGTGCCTTGATTAGCTCCGGAATGTCCGATTTAGTGTAGCGTGTGGAGGCATATCCAGGTTTCCCATTGGGCGGCTCGTACACCTTGGACAAAAACGATGCTGCAGAAAACATTAGCGCACTTGGTTCCACAACTGGAAATTTCGTATCGAAGTGACATAATTGGGAGAGTGGATTATGAAGAAATTGAGGCATGCCATGAAAAGTAGTTTGATTCCGGATTTCGTGCTGAATGTGTCGGGCGTCATCGCTTGGAGTTGCACAGAAACATTGCCGGCGGAAATACTGAGTAACGTCATCATCGTAAATGTAGTGATCGTCGCGTCAATCCAAATCCTTCTTGCCATTTCGATGGCTCTAGCGCCAAGTTAGCAGGCACAGAGTTCTGAGGTTGTAAATTGTGGCAACAGAATCGCAGGCTGAAGGTTGTGACGTATCCAACTCAACTATTCGGTACACTTACATATGCACCTCTGACTAAATGCGACTTAGATAGTGAGGCTTTTCAAGCATGTGAAGCTCTCGATAGTGCTGCCACCCTAGCCACAGGTATTATCAGCAACCTCATAGAGCTTCTAGAATTGTGTTCATATCAATTCAAGCTATTGCTGCTTGATTGTCTTTGTCTGACCCATCGGCGTTGCTCGAAATCGCATGATCTTTGGGTCCACTTTGGCGCCTTTATGAACAAGTAGCTTCACGACAGATATATAATCTTCAATCGTATTTATCTGACATTCGTGGCTTAATACTTGAAGGATCTCCAGCGTCGACAGCAACTCTTTCTGATAATGAAACACCAGATTGCCATGATTTGATATCGATGTGATGTGTAGGGCTGTACTGTTAGGCACAGGCTGATCGTTAAACTTCGCTCTCGTTGTGACGTGTGCAATGGATTTGCGCTCATAACTAGTACTCGAAGGAAGTAACTCCAGGACACGCATCCGTCTTTCTTCCCTCTCCTCAACTGGAACATGGATTCTTCGACGGCGCAACCTCCGTTTCAGTGACCCCGAAGTACTGGATGTGATCAGATGTTGGGATCTAGTTTTCGAGTCTTGCGGGAATCGAGTATGTCTGACACACGAAACTATTCCAGATAATCGAAATATTCCAAATAGCCTCGACTGACCAAACGAATGGAATTTCGAAAGTATTATCAAACAGCCTAGAAGGCTAGACGACCCAAAATATTCTTCAATTAGTGACAAAAGTACCGCCCAAGTCCTTTTATGAGTCGAATTATGGACTGTGGAGTTGAGCTTCGGACATCTCGGACAACGTTGCACTATCCATCCCCATATTCTGTCATACCAAGCAGAGTACCCGGTAGACTGAAAATTGAGGATTTTCGAGATTTTGAATCGCCCTACCCATCTAGCTGGCAACTTTTCTTTGGAGAGATTGGAGAGATTGAAGAGATGAAGAGGTTGCTTATAGTCCGCCTTGATGCGCCGTATTTTCTCATGAAATCGTCTAATATGGCTCAAAACTAGAACATGCCTTCGGAATTGACGAACAATTGCTCATAGAACGTCGTATGCTCTCCTCAGCTAGCCATATCTAGTTCTACGTGCGAGCAAAACTATCGATTGATTACTGTCGAAAGTGTTCCGTCTTATAGGAGTTTAAAAAAAAGTGGAAGTTGGGGACCCGAGTAGAAATCAAAATAGAGGTCTAGGCCCCGAGTTTAACATTGAGAGATCTGCACCGCGTATAATTTCTTTTGTATAATTATAGCATCTCTATTATACAAATTGAGCTATGTAAGAGGACTTACTTACAGTATAGAGAATTAGTTGTCGGAAGTCTCTAGACACGGCTGTGAGGCTGGAAATTATACTCGGCTGACTATCTCTCTCTTACCCAGCCTATACTTGCCAAAGTAACTATTCATATAAAACTGAAGAAGTTTAGACCTCACTTAAGTTGATACAGTATGAAAAGCATATACGACAAGCCGCGGAACAATCAAATTGAGTATATAAGGAAAAGTAGTAAGCTGCGAATAATCCCTGCAACTTTCAAGGAGCTCTAGACGTTGGAGGGGACCCGACAGTCTGGTTAAGGGCAACCACCACTACGCATTTAGGTTGCATAATGTGGTGCCATCCTCGCAATGATGCCTGTGATCTCTGCCTGTCCCCGAGGGCTGAATGCATGGCATCTTAACCAGGTAACAGTGTGGTGGGAAACAGTTTCATTTGATGTTTATTTTAGCCACCTTGTACGATGCGACCCTTTCGTGAGCACCCAGCATCATTTCTTAGCCCTGAGTAAATGTAGAAGCACTCGGCTAGAACATCAAGTGCCGTGAGTCATTTCGAAGCGGTCACATTTGAGTATGTAGCTTTGATAGAAAGGGCAAAGGTAAAGGATAGAATGAACAAGAGTAAAGGAAAGGATGAAGGATGGTAAGCTTTTCAGTGTGTTTAGAAGGACCAATGATAAGCATTCGCGCTTATATCCCCAGGTCTCTCTTCATGATCAGTCCCAAAATGCAGAGCAAGTTATAGTTAAATATCAATATTTCTTTATAGGAACGATACTTTCTTCCTATCAATAACTTATACGAATCTCACAGTTACTACACAAATGTCATTTTTAGCGATTGTGTATATTGATGAAATTTAATTAAAAAAAGTAACAACCTAGATATTCAAGCAGATCCGTCGGATGCTCAAATACCCGAGATACCCGATACTCGAAATATCCACCAAAATAACTGGGTACACCCGGGGTGTGCCTATCTGCTATTCAGTCGTGAGGGGATCTACGAGCTCAGATGTACTCCAACTACAACTTGCTTAAAGCTCTCATATTGAATAAGAAAAGGAAAAGCCATACATTCAATTACATTCAATTACGATTGATCTCTTTCGAAGTTCGAATTTGACACCAAAGCATCGCCACAATGGCAACATCTCCTTTAACTCAATTCCAATTCTTCTCCTCTCTTCCCTATGAACTTCGTCTCAAGATCTATGGAATGATCCTCAATGAACCCCGCACCGTCCAAATAAATTGTGAGAAGGCCACTATCATCTCAACCCGCCGCCGCTACCTAAAGTCTTTCAAATCACCAACTCCCATCCCTTCCCTCCTACACATCTGCCAGGAAACGCGCGCCGAGGCCCTCGCCCACTACAAACCTCTCTTTCGTACGCAGTATTCCCCATCCTACATCTACATAAACTTTACCACCGACATCATAAAACTTGCGGATGGGATTATCCCTTACTTAGATGGAGAGGAACGCGACGGGATAAGAAAAATGGAGTTGGTGGTTTCGGATGGGGCATATTTTGGTCATTACAATTTGGAAGCAATATCAAAGATGAGGGGTTTACAAGAATTAGAATTGGAGGCTCTAGGAGAAGATCTGAATTCTTGGCAGCCAGTGGGCCATTACTTGAGTACTATCATGAAGGAGTTGAAGGAGTTGAGAAGAGAGAAACCAGATTGGTGTTGTCCAAGGGTGAGGCTTGTGCATGGGAGGTTGGGTAAAGAGTTTGGAGTGGTCGAGGGAGGTATCTGGACGGAAGCTGATGAGGATGATTGAAATGATGAGGATGGCTTCTTCTTGTTTCTTTTACGTCGACGGTGATGGTAGATGGTATGTTTTGAAATAATGATGTGGAGTGAATTTGCGACATCATGTCTAGAATCGATTTCATGTTTGATATCCATGTGATAAGAAGTTTGCCATTGCAAATCAAATATCACGGTATACCTGAAATTCAGTCAAACTGGTCTTCTTAGAAACCAATGTTGTCCTCAGACTCAGCATTGAGTGTCTAGATCAACATGCCATTTCATTCTCATTCTCCAGAAAAGGGGTCACGAGATGAGATCATGCCCTTGATATGTCATTCGACACGATGACTTCATGCTACCTTCGAAAGCATGCGAACAATCACGGCCTCGTACTGCCTGTACATGTTAAGCTGATGTATATAATCTCAATTGATATGCGGTTTATCCTAGACGTATGGGCTCAAGATGAAAAGAGAGAACATGAGATTCTACATGACATTGGCAACTATCATGGAGAATCTAGATCTCCTTTTTCAACTAATTCTATAATACAAGATTTGATTGCAGACTACGACAAGTGATAGCATAACTAGATTAAGGTAGAGACAGACATTTATCGCGGCTCTCACATAAAATACTTCTCAACTCCTGACCCTCAAGCGGCCCCATCCATTTCCCCTTTCGTCTATCCACAACTAATTTGACGCGTTGCCGAATCAGGTTAGTCTAAAGTACCCCGCGATAATCTAGAATTTTATTGAGGTCATAAATCATTTTCAATCTCCAATCTACGAGCTCCAAAATTTTCATAACCAAACATCTTCCTAGTGCTCGAAAATGGCACACAACGATTCCGATGACTCTCAAGCTGAAATAGGCAACTCATCTAGCGATCAGAAAGAAGAGTTTAACCGTTACATTCGAGAAACTGGAAGTCGAATGCCTCCACCACCAGAGGTTCAAGCTTATGCAAACCATCCTGCAGCATTCCCAACACCAGATGTGCCATCTATGCTTCTCTCTCTTCCGAAAGGTAATATCTCGACATGCTTATTTTTATATACTTTGACTAATGAAAACTGTAGAAATTCGACTAGAGATATATCGATACCTGATTCTTCCCGTGAAATACGTTTTTGTCGGGCGAAGGAGTGATCATTTAAGTTCTGGCGATAGTTCATCATCGGATGGTTGGACCGACGAAGACACGATCTCATTCGATGGCGATAATTCAGACATGGAGATCGAGTATGATGGACCCGGGGGTATTGATGGGTTGGGAACTTTATTGTGGTCAATGGCGGAGCAACAAGGTACGATCGAAACGGATGATGATCCAGAGTTCCCGTCGAATCCAGAAGCAGAATCGATTCTCAATGAAGTCGACCCCGCAATACCTGCTCCCGACGACATTGAAGTTGTGAACTTAGAAGACGGAGGAACGGCCTCAAGAACAAAAAACGGAGGAGGGAAGTGGGAAACAGATTCTACAAGCTCCGATGGAAGCGGCTTCGCAGCAGCATACCGCATGTGGCCTGAGATCATGCGGGTCAACAAACAAATATACGAAGAGGCCTCTTCCATGTTCTTCACTGAAGCTACTGTAGTCATCTGTTGCAACGACCTTTTCTTTTTCAACAACAAGATTTTTAAACTGGGTACCATGTATGGTAAGAATCCTTGGAGACACAACCCTCTCACAGCTGTCGCGAAAAAACTACCGAATGGCACCATACAGTACGATCAAGAGGACCTGGGTGGATGGGTGGAGCCTCATATGTTCGCAAAATTTCAAAAGGTTGTCTTCGACTGTGCATTGGAAGAAGAACATACCGAGAACGTCCCATTATTTTTGGACATCGAAACTGGGAAAATTGATTCTGAAGATGAAACCAGATTTCGCAACTGCATAAGCAATTTGACCTTCGTCAAGGACTTTGTCAAGATCTTATCTAAATCCCCAGTCGTCAATAAGCTCACCATAAACGTACTTGTCGAAGTCACGGCCGAGACACGTCTAGACGCCGAATCAATTGATTCAGATGATGAAGATGCATTGGATGAAATGGAGGACAAACAAAGCAAGGCGGATCTTGAGGCTAATATGGCCGCCACAGAAGTATTCATGGATTGCGGCATGTTCAAACCTCTGAAACATCTGAAGAATGTGAGAAAATTAGAATTCCGAACCGGCTTTGCCGACTTTATCCCTGCAGTCGATTATAAGCCGAAGGAGAAACATCAACTTATGGCAAACAAGCTTAAGAGTTTGGTGGAGGGTAACTTTAAAGCGCCGGAAGAACCTACCAGGGGCGGTCTCAGAAGTCAGGGAAGTGTCACACGACATGGGGCTATCTAGAGGATCGAAAATAGATGATGATATTGAGGAGTTTCTTGTGGACAATAAGCTTAATTTTGTGTATATAGCTCTACACGACTTTCTGGTGTCATAAAATGGGAGGTTCAGAAATTATTGTATCATTGCTTAATTGCATGCCGGATTAGAGGGCTTTGGCTACGACTAGAATCTAGAATATGTCTTCGTTGACAAAGATAGTTATAGAAATAGGATTTTCATGTACGAGCATGGTATAGGATCGAATAATGATGAACAGTTGTATTCACGTTTGTGCTGATGAATGTCTACGACATATGAAACGCACTCTTACCTCGGTAGATTTATCGATCAAAGAAGTTCTCGTGTGAATCTAATAAGTTGCGGATATTACAGCATA